CAAGGGGGATGCGCATGTCCAATTATGACACGGAGGTTGAATGCTATTCAGCAGCGTAAAATAGTCGTGTCTGTTTTTACGCAGCCGCCTTCTCTCTTTTGCCCAGGAGGCAAAACAGGTTTTATGGGATGTCAGATCATAATGACAAGTCTAGGAATAACCCTCCTCCGCCTCCTGATTCCCTGCCCCCACCTACACTCTCATGCAGGTACACACCCTAAAGAGCATTGCAACATAATGCACTCTGGTATTAAATGCCAAAGGTTTAAGTTCTGGCGTAATGAGGCCACAGTCCAGCCGTTCAGAGGCCGATTGGAACGTGCAGTGCTGAACAAGCAGGAAGCCAGAACACGACTCTATTTAGGAATGCTGCGCGTTCTCTTGCTTCAGTTATCCCCTCTTTATCCAACACACTTGCTGGCTGATTTGACTCCTATACAGAAAAGGATGTGTGAGGGTCCCGTACTCAGAGCCGTCTTGTACAGTGGGGATTCCCCCCCCCCCACTAGGGAGAAATTCCACAGTGAGATTTTATCCATAAAATAAATTTGCAGCTCAGTACAGTGGTACCTCAGGTTACAGACACTTCAGGTTACAGGCGCTTCAAGTTACAGACTCCGCTAACCCAGAAATAGTACCTCAGGTTAAGAACTTTGCTTCAGGATGAGAACAGAAATTGTGTGGCGGCGGCGTGGAGCAGCGGGAGGCCCCATTAGCTAAAGTGGTACCTCAGGTTAAGAACAATTTCAGGTTAAGAACGGACCTCCAGAACGAATTAAGCTTTTAACCTGAGGTACCACTGTAAACGGGTTTGATATCTGTCCGCCTGGGCAGTTCCAAACACCTAACTTCATGTGACTTCCCCTCACAAGCATGTGCAAATATATGATAAATCTCTTTGAGTGTGCTAAAAATTAGTACGTTAACAGTTTTTCTTTTCATAATAATAATAGCAGCAACTATTATTATTAATTTATTATTTAAACCCTGCCCATCTGGCTGGGTTTCCCCCGCCACTCTCTCTATATAAGGAAAGGACTTGATCGACTTCTCTCAACCTGATATCTCAGAGGGATCATGCTGGTTGGGGCTGACAAGAGTTTTAGTCCGACAACATCTGGAGGGCACCGGCTTGGGGAAGGCAGGGCTAGGTAGGCACGTCATCTTGCCCATTCTAAATGAGCTTCATATGATCCTATGGTTTAGCTTGGGAATGTGGCACAGAAGCTCACATCCTTTCCCAAGTGCTCTAGCCACAGTTTGCCATGTTGTCCTACCAGGAAAGCTAATGTCAGTACCAACTCACCCATGGCAAACCATGGGTAGGGCAACCTGGGAATGAGTTGGGAACCCACACTTGTGAGGCAGAATGAACAAAGTCTGTTGAGAAAATCGGAATAAGATGTTTTAACTGGGCTGCTGTTTCTTAATCTCAGTGTATCTGCCTCCCCGCACCGCCGCCCAAATCTGCAGTATGTGTTTCTGAAGTGTGTGTGAAATACTCTTAATGTTTAACAAGATTCTATGCAAGTCCTTAACAATGTATGGGGGTGATGATGTTGTGCCATGTGTTATTTCTGGATGTTTGGGACAATGGGTTGTGCCCAAAGTGTCCCTTTTATGAATGGAAGGGCTCCTCCTGCTCATGGAGGAACTGAGATCTAATGCACGATCCTGCTCGAGAAAATAGGGGGATGCTATTTCCACCCATTCATCCTGCAGCCCCCCCCCCCCGCATAACTACCTATGCTTTTCGGGCAGTTCTCTCAATCCTATGGAGAGTTGCACAGCCTCCATTCTGCATGGCAAAGAGTTGTGGGTTATGGGTGGTTTTGGGAAAGTTGCCTGTACCCTCAAGCTCGGTTCCCCGTCTTTTAAAAAAAGCGAAATAAAAGCAAACATCAATGTACCTCTCAGGTTTTCAGTTTTGTTTTGTGGATGCCCAAGATATAAGGCATGTAAAGGCGTTGCGTGCTCTGTTTGCGTATCAGCTGCCTCTTAGCCAGGTCTGAAGAAATCGCTTTGCCATTGCTATAGAAACCTTGCCTTGATTAGATGTCATAACTCTGTTTGATTCACACTGATATGGCTATGGGTTCCCACTGTGAAATGAAGACAGGTTTCTTTTTATATATGCACAGAGAATATAAATTCTGCTGCTTTATAGCTTACCAAATGCTTAAGTGGTTTTTGATGCAGAATTTAATTAAAGTACTTGCAGGAAATAGTAAAAAAAAAAAGTATCTTTTTTCTATGTGTATATGTGTTTGGACCATAATCTGCAAGTTTAACACATTGGTGGTAAACCTTTTTATGAAATATTTTAATTTAGAGAGAGCTTGTATATCAGGGAGCTTATATCTCTCCAGGGAGCAGCAATCTGTCCTCCTGCCTACGGAATAATTCGGTGTAGGCAAGCCAAGTCATCCTTGATGGGTCTGAACAATATTGAAGGTTCAGCTTTATTTGGGCCTTGCTAGTTGACATTTTTAATGCAGTAATTGCCTGGTTGTTACTTTGTGGTTGCTAGCGATCCAACATCTTTCTTGGAGGCGTCTTCCGACTTCAGGACATGAGGAATACTGGAAGTGGAGAGAATTTCTCTTGCAACAGAGAAACTTCATTTTCATGGCAGTGTGTGTCTAAATGTTACCCATTCCCAAATCTTCAGCATTGGTGGATGCTGTGCATAATTGTGGTTCCACAAGCACCATTGGTGACTGATGACCTCCCACCTCAAACTACAAAGCTTCTTGGCCTGTTGAGTTTTAAATTTGTGTGTGTGTGTGTGTTGATGTTTTCAATTGTTAATCATATTTTTATCTGTTTTAATACTTAAGTGGTTAATTTGAAGCAGAAGTCGTTATAGTGGATTATTCACCTGCAAGCACAAAACGGCTCTGGATATTTGTGTGTCTGTGACGTCATGGATGCTGACGGCATGGATGCTATCCAGTCAGTGCCTTCCACAGCTAGGTGAACGCTTCTTCCTCCTCCATTTCATTTCCAACCCTACTGCAGATTTTCAGGAGTTTTTCTTTCTCAGAGCTTGAATACATAGCAAAGAAAGCAAGAGCTCTTGGAATTTTGCGCTCCTGTTTCTTTTACTAAAATAAAGCGCAACCCATGATGTCCATCTTTACCTGCCAATGCCGTAGTAGTGAGTGTGTTGCCACTGAGCCCCCCAAAATTGCATTTCCTTCAGAAATGGCAAGCCAGCCAATAATCACACTTTCTGTATATTCCTGCCTTCCAATGAGCTCAAAAGAGCTCACATTGAGCTTTTGCCATGAAAATGCCCCCCCCCCGTGGGAAATGGCGTCTCTGATTCAGCCACACCGCCAAAGGGGGATGGTTAAGAGCAACCCACGGTTTTAATACTGTTTATGAGAGCAACAGTTTACGACGCAACGTATCAAATATTAATACGAGGGACAGAAAGGATGGCAAAGGACTTGTTCCTCTTAATGGTGCCTGCAGGCAAATGAATACACAGTGAGCCGAGTGGTGGGCGGGTGGAAAGGAGCTGAGCAAAGATGGCCCAAACAGTATCGCCTTCTATGCATCCACCGCGATAATAAAAAAATATTAAATTTCAGGTTGGCAGTTTATTACGCACTTTAATTCTCCAGAAAACATGGGGCCGTCCACTCAGGAAAAGGGCCTTAGCTCAGTTCCCTCTGCACACAGGAGGTTCTGGGTTCAAGACTCCTCCCTGAAACCTTGGTGTCAGGGCCGGAATCAGGTGTAGGTCAGCAACAAAGATGCATCACTCCAGGCCAGTGGAGTTATTTCTTTGTTTAAGGGAACAACCCACAGCTCTGGCCTAGTGGTCTCAGCAACTCTTTCCAGGAGGTCTTGTCCCGATTAAGCAGTTGCGAGGACTGAAGGTCCCCGCCTTCCCGGTAGCCACTAGGCCTCCCTCTCCAGGGCCTTTCCCACGCAGTCTCAGGCCGTGTCTGCACACAGTCATCCTCTGCTCTGCCTGCTTAATTTCTCTCCATGTTATGGGAAACCAGGGGGAGGAGAGCTGCTCAAAGAAGGAGACTCCCTGGATCCTTCAGCAGCCAGTCTCCATTCTGCCTCCTCTCCAGCCTCCGAGTCGGAGTCTGAACTGCTCTCTGCCATGGCCTCTTCCTGCTCACTAAAGCCTGTTGCCTCTTCAGCTTCCGACGCCACCTCCTCCCAACCTGCTCTCTCTTCTCCCTCTGACCATTCATGGTCATCCAATCCCCTGGCTCTCCTTCCCATGAAATTTCCCTGACTGGTGCCTTCATCCAGCCAGTCCATGGCACTTGGGAGACCTGTTGCCAACTAGGGTTAAGGAACCCAACTCAGCCTGAGTACTGCATTCCCTTCTGGGCATCCTTCTGGGGACCTCATAACAGTGCTCAGGCGAATTAGACGCAAAAATGGGCAGAGGATGGGATGTAATTTCCTACCTTGTACAGTGGGCTAGTTTCTATGCACCCTATCAGATCCTTCTCTGTCCTCCAAGCAAGAGGCCTCATAAGAGATCAAGGACATGTTCCAGCCCAGGTAGAAAGGAGGCTACAAAACAGGGTTAGTGTGACCATGGGAGAGTCCTGAGGGCCAGATGGAGAGGCCAAGAGGGCTGCAATCCACCCCTGGGCCCGAGGTTCTCTCTCAGACCCCTGGTGCTGCTGTAAATAATACGCAGCTAGGCGGACCAATAGTTTCGTTCATCTATAAGGCAGTTTTCTACTATACTCTGTCTCCACTGTATGTTTCTGAATGCCAGTTGCTGGAAACCACAGGAGAGCAGAGATAACGCCAAGGTTGCAGGTTCGATCCTCGTATGGGGACAGCTGCATTGTGGGAGGTTGGACTATATGATCCTCGGGGTCGCCTCCAATTCTCTGATTCTATTCATTCCTGTGCTTGGATCCTGCGTTCAGAATGCTGGACCAGGTGGGCCCCTGGCCTGATCCAGCACTCTCTCCTTACGCTTCTATAAAAGCTTTTCCCTCTGTTTCTAGGCCAATAAGATTAAATGGGTCCAGTAACTGGAATGACTCCAGACAAGAAAGCTGAAACGCCGGGGGCAGAGAAATCCGCGGGGCTGCGGCACATCCAAAGAATGGGGAGCTTGCCGGAGGCGGTGGACGCGGCTCGGCCGAAGGCCACGGCTGTGGATAGCGAACTGGCCGACGACGAGCTCACAAACTTGAACTGGCTTCACGAAAGCACGAACCTCCTAACAAACTTCAGCCTCGGAAGTGAGGGTCTTCCGGTGGTTAGCCCCCTGTATGACATCGAGGGCGACAGTGTGCCATCCTACCCTTCTTCCTGCTACTCCAACCCCGAGAAGAAATCTGCCACATCGAAGCCCCCCTATTCCTTTAGTCTCCTCATCTATATGGCGATAGAGCATTCGCCCAGTAAGAGCTTGCCGGTGAAAGAAATCTACAGCTGGATCCTGGAGCGCTTCCCGTATTTTGCCACAGCCCCCACCGGCTGGAAGAACTCGGTCCGGCATAATCTTTCCTTGAACAAGTGTTTCCGGAAGGTGGAGAGAAGCCACGGCAAGGTGAGAACTGGGCGCTTATTGCTCTTCCTTTTGTTCTTTTTTTTAAAAACAAAAAACTAAAACCGTAACCAGTTTGCTTTGCTTGTTGGTTTAAGGGAAAAGATGGTGGAACTTTGATTCAGATGTTTTGTTGGAACACACAAACACAAACCATGTCTTTGCTGCCCTACAATTTTGAGAGGGGGTAGCCCTGTTCAGTTCCCTGCAGTCAAACCAACAAAGAGTATTTTGACGCTGTCCAAAAAGACTGACACTTTCCTTCCAGGGGAGTGCGGCCCCATCCGGACCAGGCCGCCTTCCCACCTCCTGGGCTGGAGAACTTAGAGCATGTAACACCTCTGTCTTTTCAGAATACGGTTTCAGTTTTTTGGTCCACATCCGGCCCACCCATCACTTCCTCTGGGCACCCATCTAGCACCCTAGCCACCTAGGACTAGGCTGATGTCAGCAGGTTCCAGGAATCCTCTTTGTTGTGTGACTTTGTCGGGTCATCTTAGTTTGCCTGGGAGCCTGGATGAGAGCTAGGAGGCTGAGAGGCCCTGGGTAAGGAGATGCTTCAGAATCTCAGTATTTATTAGCATGTGCAACAATAGTTTTATTTGGTCTGTTTTTGCAACTGTTTTTCTTTCTTTTTTTAGTTTGCCATGCATGGTAAAATTGAAAACAAATTGGTAGAACTGAAAACAAATTGGGCTTCCACCTAACTTTGCCCGCCTCCCCAGAGCTTGTAGCTGCAGTATTGGGAGCAAAACTCAGGCTCGTCTTGCTCCCCAGAAGCAGATGGAGTCTTTATATCACAGTCTTCCTCAGTATGGGGCCCTCTCGATGTCTCTGGGCTACAACTCCCATCATTTCTGATCCTTGGTTGTGCTGGCTGGGGGCTGGTCGGAGCTGGAGCACAATAGCATCAAGTAGGAGAAGAGTGTTGTCGTAGATAGGGCATGAGGAGGACCTTTTCCTGCTAGGTGTCCTTGTTTCAAGGAAGGATCGTGCAGTTCAGGGGAAGAAAAAGAAACTCCACTTTGGAAGAGTTTGTTGGCCTACAGAGACCCTCATAGGTCTGTCCATGAATGGCCAAGAGCATTGTGCAAGGAAGATAACTTACACGCAGCCAGTGTTCGAAGCTCCCATTGTTCTAGGCACATTTTGCGACATGGAATTTCATTAGCGCGAACCGTTTCTGAGCTCTGCGCCTAAGATTTCAGATTAAAACTGCAGAGTGGAAGGAAAGGAGGACCTTTTTCTTCCTCTAGCTACTCTCTGAAGACTGGAGAAGAGACCCTCTTAAGAATATTAGCGGGGTGGGCAGGGGAAGGACTAGACCCTGTGAAAAATGAACATAATTTTTTAGATGCAGTTCATTCATTTTCAGCTTTGTATTCTTGTTATTAAGGAAAGTGTGCCTAAACATTCCATTGTTGCGCCCATGACTAGGATGAAGGTGCCATTTATCTCCTAGCTTTCATATCTGGTGGAATGCTCTGTCACAAGAGACTAGGGCCCTGCAGGACTTGACATCTTTCCGCAGGGCCTGCAAGACAGAGCTGTTCCACCAGGCCTTTGGTCAGGGCGCAGCCTGACTCCCTCCTCTAGCAACCTGCACAGAATTTTGCTTAATCTGTTGCCATCAATTTGATTTTGAATTGCTTTTAAAATGAATTGATTTCAGAATGTTGTGTTAGTTTTATTGTTGTTAGCCACTCTGAGCCCGGCTTCGGCTGGGGAGGGCGGGATATAAATAAAATTATTATTATTATTATTATTATTATTATTATTATTATTATTATTATTATCATCATCATCATCATCATCATCATCTCAGTGTCTAACACTGCCTGCGGCAGGTAGCAGGATACAAGGGACTGTCTCCAGTAAATTGAGATCATTGGAACAGGTGCTGTCGATGTCTGCGTCTATGTATTGGTAACCAAGGGAGTGGACAGGCACCCTCTTCCTCCCTTTCTGAACACTGATGACTCAGTAATAATTACACGCGAGCGTAAGACATGCCGCAGAAGTTAATATCGGTGCCCTGCTTGCCCACTCTTGTTTCTTTCCTTGCTTTGGTACCTGCCCAGGTGACTCAGGCTTTTGCCAGCTCTTTTGGGTGTACCTTTCAGAGCCTGCGCGCCCTGGGGAAGGATGTGGTTGTTTCAGAACAGCTGGAAATTGCATGTTGCGTCAGCCCCGCTTCCTAAAGTGGAAGAGATTAGTTATTTGAAAGTTGTGCTGTTTGCGGGGGGGGGGGGGTGGGAGCGGGTGGGTAGAGACAGCTTAGCGTGTGAAGTATGGGCTCAAATAGCAGCCTGGTTTGTGTTGCCATGGCAGCATTTCCTCTTGCTTGGCTGGCTTGCGAGAGGCTGCCGCCGCCACGATGCAGAGGTTGTGTTCCTGCTGATCCGGTGGTGTGCCATTTGCTGGGGGTGGGGGCGGGCAGGAGGGGGGAGGGAGGAACCTCTCTTTCCTCCGTCTTTTCTTTTTAAGCTCAAGCACGAAGGCACGTACAAGGCACACGTGTGTGCGTGTTGATGCAACCCGAAGGCAGGAGTATCAAAGGGGAAGAACACTGCCGCTTTCTAAGTTGCTCTGCAAAACCGGTTTTGGAGTTCCTCACAGAGGATCTGCTTATGCAATGGAAACAGGATACGTGCGCAGATCAGATCTGCTGAAATAACACAACTCGGCTTTGTTACATAGCCAGGGTAGCTGTCTGGAGCAGGGCGTGTTTCTCACCTGAGGGCCGTGCTTCTGCTAAATTGGACCCAGTTTTCAGGTCAAACGTAACTGCAGGTAGAAAGCTGCCTTCTACGAGCCAGGCCATTGGTCTGCCTAGCTCAGTATTGTCTACCTCTTTAGTATTTAAGGCAGGAGTTCCCTCTCTATGCTATAGATTGAGCATGTGCCCTACTAGTGTGGCTGGGGCAACCCAGTCAGATAGCAGGGTATTATTATTATTATTATTATTATTATTATTATTATTATTATTATTAGTACCACCACTGGCCCATTGCTCTCTCATGCAGAAAGAAGTGTGGACATAGGGGTGCAAAAGTGGCCAAGATCTGAACTTAAAAGCAAGCCTATTTATTGCTCCCTCTCCTTCCCCTGCTACTCTTGGAGCTGGTGAGAACTGCTATTGGCTTCCAGGTTAAAAATTTCCAAGCCTGTCTTTGCATGTTTGGAACTATGATTTGTAAAAGACCAGTAGTAAATAGTGCAAGTGATGCAAAACCTGCTTATTGTGCTTTCCCATGGAGTGGAGGCAGGGTATGACAGATGTTCAAGAAATGCTCACTTTAAGAAAAAAAAAGTTGGTTTTATTTTCTGTTTTTGGCAATGTGAAGATGCTAGGGGTGAGTCAGGAACTTCCCAATGCAGTGTGTTTCTGCAGTTCATCTTATTTAGCTAGCTAATGCGTGCAGCCTGCCTGCCTTGTTCAAAATCATAGACTTTTTAGAAGCTGAAGGGTCCTTGGAGTTCATCTTGTCAACGTGAAGGTTTTCTCTCGCTGTTTATATTCTCATCACCGCTACAAAAATGTCTGCTTGGACAAAGCATCACATTTTGGGATTGGGATCGCAGCTTCTGCAATGTCAGCTTCCCTTGTAACACACAGGTGTTACCTTCAAGACAAAGGCTTCTATTTCCAAGTGTATTTAGAAATAATGGCCACTGAAAGTAGACTGGCTTATTTCTGATACTCTAGGCAATGAGCTGACCTGTGAGATCCTTTCTAGCAGGGGTAGGGAGCCTACGGCCCTCCAGAGGTTGTTGGATTCCAACTCCCATAAGCCCCCATCAGCATGGCCAATAGTTAGCAATTGTGGGAGCTGCGGTCCAGCAACAAATAGCTGAGTTCTAAGAAGTACATTCAGGGGAGTGATTTCAGCTTCACCTCTGGTGATGATGAACTCAAATGACTTGTCAGGACGATCGGATAAAGCTATAATACTTTCAGGAGATGAAGTTGCCTTCCATACCAAGTAGGATGGGGTCTTAGGTGGTAGCCTTTCATAGCCAGCCAGATACCCCAGGGTCTGAACCTGGGATCTTCCACAAACAAGCCATATTATCTGCCACTGATCCCAAGGTAGGCAGCCTGGTGCTCACCAGGTGCTGAAACTCCCATTGCACAGTACGGATGCTGGCCAGTGTTGGGTAGTGGTTACAGGGTCAGACTAGGACCTTGTAGACCAGGGTTCAAATCCATGGAGCTCACTAGATGGCCCTAGGCCCCAGTCACTGCCTCCCAGCCTAACTGAGCACATGGGGTTGTTGCAGGGATTATTTTTTAAAAAACAACATTTTTAAATTAGCTTTTCAAACTTTATAAATTCTTTTAAACAACCATCAGAACATGTATCTCATATTAGTTGACTTCCCACCCACCCTTCCGTTGTGTCCTTTTCGTACCTTAGAAAGCTGCTGTATTACTTATATTTTAGCCATTACATATGTTAATCATAAATGACTAAACTACCACTATCAGCTGCTATACTTTAAATCCTACATAACCATGATATTTTTTGAAAATATTTCCATTCTTCAAGGAATTTTTCTTCATTCTGTTCTTTATTTATCACAGTTAAGTCTAGCTATCTCAGTGTATTCAATCATCTTTGTTCACCATTCTTTCGTTGGGACTTCATCTTTTCCCGTTTTTAAGGGTTGTTTCAGGGTTTAAAGGAGGTGTGGAAGCACCATGGACACCACTTTGAGCTCCTTGGAGAAGAAATTTGGGATGCAGATGCAGTTAATTAAATAAATAAGAGCTGCCTCAAGCACCCAGAAGAAAGATCGAGATGCAAATGGAACGAATGGTTGTTATTTTGAAACAGGCTCCGTTAATTCGTTGCCTGAAGAGAAAGAAGCCCATAGCACCCTTTTCCACACGGCCTTTCCAAATGAGATACCATTAGAAATGCAAGCAAACCTGCTATTAAGAAATTACGCTATTAATTGTATCCATTACTGCTTTCAACACTTCTTAGTTTTTCAGCGGTGGTTTGCTTCCAGCAGGCGCTTTGAAGCAGAATGGTTGAGTTACGCACGTAAACCCCTCTCCTTCTCCTCCTCCTCCTTCTTCTTCGATCACTCATAGCTGAGTAAAACTGTCTTCCATTAACAGTGAGTCCGTAAGTGATTGTGGAGGCCAAATCTGGATCCACACGTCCTTCCACAGTGGGGACATAGGTTTCCGGGCAAGATTTGATCACAGTGTGGATTTGCCAAGCGTGCCTTCCTCTTTGCATGTTTCTCCCTTGCGTCCTGAGTTCAAGCATCTTCAAAGCCCATGACACCTTTGGTAAAGGCTGTTCTCCAATTGGAGCGCTTGCGGGCCAGGGTTTCCCAGTTGTCAGTGTTTATACTACATTTTTTTAGATTTGCCTTGAGAGAGTCTTTTAACCTCTTTTTTTGACCACCAGCGTTACGCTTTCCATTTTTAAGTTCGGAATAGAGCAGTTGCTCTACCCCTGTGTAAAAAGAAGGAGGAGGCTGCCTCAGGCAAGCCAAAAATGTCTTATCTTGCGGCCTTGAACATCATCACGGGGATTAAAGCTTGGTTCAGATATTTATTCGGTTCCTGACTCGTCATACGAAAAGCCCCGCTCAACAGGCCAAAGGCCCATCTCATCCAACATCCTGTTCTCACAGTGGCCAACCAGATGCCTATGGGAAACTCACAAGCAAGACCTGGGGCAAGAGCCATCTCCCCACTTCTGATGCCCAGCAATTGTGTTCAGGGGCACAATCCCCCAGCAGTGGTGGGAGGAACACAGCCATCGTGGCTAAAGGCCATTGATAGCCTTAGCTTCCATGAGTTTTGTCTGATCATCTTTAAAGTCACCCATAACTACCACTGTTTTACATAGGGGGAAAATAACCCCAGGTATTTTTCTGGTGCACACAGAATGAGGCATGTCTCTTGGGGAAAGGGCTGGATTTGAAAGTGGAGGGCGTGGAATGGAATGGAGTATCCCTGCCGGAACCCTGAACAGGAGCACTGCATGCTGCAACACATCGTTGCAGACCCCTCCTATAAGCAGCAAACCAGCCAGAACAACTTCCTGCAAAACCAGCATTTGGGCCACTGTCTCCCTGCGGAGTTGCCATATTTTTGCCTGATTTTAGGATGTCTGGGAACAAGGGCAGGGCACGGCTTTCTCCGTGTACTGAAGCCCACCCATGGAAAAGTTCGGCAGGCCTGCTGCTTTCTATTTTCTGTGTTTAGGATGTCTGTTAAGAACATGGTGTTCTAACAGGGTTTGCAGGAGAGTGTGTGTAAGAGAAGGCAAATTCTATGCCAAACCTATCAGATAATTTCTTTTAGAGCCTGCTGTTACAGAAGTTAGAATTGTCGTTTATCCTCGGACAGCTGAGTTCGTGCCCATGGTGGGCAGCACCAGGTGCAAAAGCGGGTGCAGCAATGGATGTCCATTTTCTCATCGTGACGCAGGATAGTTTCTACACCTTCTCTATTCTCAATCCTGGAGAGCAAGAGGCTTTCATAGAATTGTAGAATTGGAAGGGAGCCCAGGGGTCATCTACTCCAACGCCTTGCATTGCAGGAGCATCCATGAGAGATGGCTGTTCACCCTCTGTTCAAGGCCACATTCCAGCCAGTTAAAAGCTTTTGAAAAGGGTGCAAAGCAGCTCTGGCGAGGGCGGTGGTTGGAAGAGGTATGTGATTCGGGGAGGGTGCTGAGGGCCTGGTGGAGAGATCTGGTGAGCTTCAGGTTCTCCACACTAGGTTCTCCACACTGATGTAGAGGGACCAGCTGCCTAGCTTGGCGTGAGGCAGCGTCGTGGTTCCTCTGTTGCTGTAAAATCGAACTGTATTCAAAACAGCCATGTTTCTTAGGGTTTGAATCAGGATTGCTGATGGTTTCATGCCTTGATACTGTGGCAGGTGTTGAGTAGGCTGTTTGGGATGTCATGAAACATACAAGGTTTTCCGTCGATCTGTCGAGAGAGATGTTCTCTCAGCTGGCAGTTTGACCCTTCTCCCCGCTTTTTCAACTTGCTTCCTGGATCTGATGGGAAAGTGTTTGCGGTAGGGGGCTGGGGATGGAGTTTGCAAACAAGCACTTATTTCTCAACATCCGGTGCTGTGCAGATGTTGTTGGGACTGCAGCTTTCCTCAGACTCTGCCAGCATAGCTAGAAAAACACCTGGAGGGCAACACCTGTCCCTGTGCCTTTCTGAAGGACCGTCCCTGTCCCAAGGAACTGCGTAAGGTTGATAATTTCCCCCCCTCCAGTATGGTGGGTACCAGGCAGAAGCTGTTGAAAAACCCATCTTAAGTGCTTGGAAGTGAGTGGCCGCCATGTTTTAAAAGGTTAACCTGCACATTTGCCCATTAAGTACATAGGATGGCTGTGATGTTGCAGTAGATTTGGTAGAATCTTGGTGTGTGGATAAATGGCAGCCTTGCTCAACCTGGTACCCTCCATACACTGCTGGACTATGACCCCCTAGCAATGTTAGAAATTAGACAGGTGACCAGGCGCATTTTGCTACTGGTGCAGGTCCAGTTGCTACCATGTTGAGATCTCTGAATGCCAGGTTGGTGACTGGCATCTCCATCTGGCTGGAGCAGGTAAGAGGAAGAGCTTATTAATTGCTTTTATTGTTGTTATTTAGTTGTTTAGTCATGTCCGACTCTTCGTGACCCCCTGGACCAGAGCATGCCAGGCACTCCTGTCTTCCACTGCCTCCCGCAGTTTGGTCAAACTCATGCTGGTAGCTTCGACAACACTGTCCAACCATCTCGTCCTCTGTCATCCCTTTCTCCTTGTGCCCTCCATCTTTCCCAACATCAGGGTCTTTTCTATGGAGTCTTCTCTTCTCATGAGGTGGCCAAAGTACTGGAGCCTCAGCTTCAGGATCTGTCCTTCCAGTGAGCACTCAGGGCTGATTTCCTTAAGAATGGATTGGTTTGATCTTCTTGCAGTCCATGGGACTCTCAAGAGTCTCCTCCAGCACCATAATTCAAAAGCATCAATTCTTCGGAGATCAATTGCATTTACAGTCCACCATTTTTCCAAGGAGTACGATTCACCCCCCCTCAGTTAATCTCTACAACAACCCTGTGAGGCAGGTTAAGAAGCTGTGACTGGCCCAAGGTTACCTAATGAGCTTCATGACTGAGTGGGGATTTGAACCCTGATCTCCCAGGTCCTAGTCCAGGCATAGGCAAACTCCGGCCCTCCAGATGTTTCCCATCATCCCTGACCACTGGTCCTGTTAGATAGGGATGATGCGAATTGCAATCCCAAACATCTGGAGGGCCGGAGTTTGCCTATGCCTGTCCTAGTCCGATATTCCGACCGCTACACCACACTGGCTTCCTAGAGTCCTTCTGCTATGGGGCAGCTCTATAAATTAAGTAGGTAAGTAAATATGGGGAAAGCAAAACGTCACCTAGAGAAGGATCTGAAATGTTTTCCTTGAAGCTTGTATTTGTTTTATTCTGGATTGTGTTATTTGATGTTTTAATGTGTTGTAAACTGCTTTGAGATTTTTTCTTTAAAATATAAAGCGGCATAGAAATGATATACCCGTATATACTCCAGTATAAGCCAACCCAAATATAAGCTGAGGCACCTAATTTTACCACAAAAAACTGGGAAAACTTATTGACTTGAGTATAAGCCGGTTCACCATACCACAAACCTCCTGGTGGGCTGGAGTGCGGCAGAGGGGGCTTCTGTCTCCCCCCCCAGCCCCTCCCATCCCCCTGCCTACCTAGGGTGCTGCCGAGAGGCAGAGGCTGGTGGCGGCAGCGATGGAGGAAGAACAAGCAGCCCGAAATTGCGGCAAAGGCGGTAGAGGAGGAAGGAACAGCCCAAAAGGGACCCTCACTCAAGTATAAGCCGAGGGGGGCTTTTTCAGCATAAAAAATGTGCTGGAAAAGTCGGCTTACACATGAGTATATATGGTATGTATATATAATTGCAAATTCCACAGGAAAAAAAGATGCCTAGACATTCCATTGTGGCAACCGTAACCCACGTTCAAGGTGCCATTTGTTGATGACCTGAGATACCTGAGTTTCTTACACTGCCTCCTAGCTGGGGCTGATGGGAGTTGTGGTCCTGAACATTGGGGGGGCCCCTTAGTTGAGGAAGCTTGCTGTACGGAATGGTGCACAGACTTTGAAGTGCAATTTGTCAGGCTTGGGGTGCAGGTCTGTCTCAGCAGCCTCCAGCCTGCCGTGAGCATATTTCATCTACGACCCAGAGTCTCTCAAGTACCAAAATTGGCAGTTCATCATCACACGTTTGCAAACTGGATATGCTGCTGCCTTACGACCGTTTCCCTGCAGGAGGTATCCTGGAATGAGTCGGTTGTGGAAGTGGTGGTCCTGTCCTCTGAAGCGGCTTACACGGGCACGCACAAAATGGGGAGAAGTCCTTCGTAATAAGCACGGGTGCTTTTGTTGTTTCCTAGGTGAATGGAAAAGGTTCTTTGTGGTGTGTGGACCCAGAATATAAACCGAACCTAATACAAGCCCTGAAGAAGCAGCCTTTCCCCTCTGCCTTTTTTTATACCCCACCAGCATCACCACTGAGGTAGGACTCTTGTTGCTCTAAACACAGTGCAATCTGGGACGGGTGGTTGGTGGAACGCAGATTTCCGTCTCGATCAGTGTTGTCCGCAGGTGGTGATACATTTTTTTGGAAAAAAAGAGAACATTAGTTTTGGTTTCGGTAAGTCTAGAAGAAAGAGTCAGCCATAGCTTAGTGTGGAGAAGGTCCTAGTTTCATCTCCAGACTCCCACACCCTTCTCCAAACATTGTAGCCCTGCAAAGCCATTGCCAGCCAAGATCAGGCAGCAGTGGGATGACTCTGAGTAGGAGCAGAGGAGAAATTCGATTCAGCTCTCATTGAACGGCGAACTTGCACAGTCTGCCCTTTGTGAAACAAGGCATGAAGCGAAACACAGCCACCCTTCAAAATTTGCACTTCTGTGAATTTTGTGGTGCGTTTCTCCAGGCAAGCAGAGCCATAGAATTGTAGAGTTGGAAGGGACCCTGGGGGTCATTTAGTCCAACCCCCTGCGAGGCAGGAATCTCAACTAAAACAGATGACCATCCAACCTCTGTAATGTGTACAAAAATGCTTATACTGGGGTAAAGTGTGTCTGCAGGAATATGAACATATTGATGGGAAGAGTGTCCAAGCACACATATTAGAGGAAATAGTAAAAAAAGAAGAGGTGTATATCAGGCAAAAATTATATATATATATATATATATATAAAATGGGAGAAACGTTGCACTGAAACACTGATGAGGACTCTTCTTTTTTAAAAAAATTGCAAACTGATTTGAACATATGAAGAACTGAGCTTAGGACTAGAAAAAATAAGCGAACACAGAGAAAATAAGACTTAGCCATCGCTCAGTCTAAGACAGCTTCACATGTTGACTACCTTCTTTCGATTATCCTTGCTATTCTGCTTGAATATAGGAAGCATCTTTTTAAAAAAACAATGGCAACAGCTGAATGTTTGTGTTAGCTGAGAGACTCTTACTGGAATCTATATCCCAGTGGAACGTCTTGATTAAATGTTATGGGCAGTTTGCATTTGATATCCCTTCTCTGATAGAAAGCATACAGGAGCAGAATGGGTGGGAAGCCATTTTTGGCAATTCCTTCTCCTCCCCCCACCTCATCCCCTCCCAGTCAGCTCTGAAGGCTCACCACAAAACCTAAAACTAAGGAACTGAGAACAAATTATAAAGATCAAGAGTAGCCAACATGGTGGTCTTCAGATGTTGCTGAATTGCACCTTCCACCATCCCTGACCAATTGGCTGGAGTTGATGGGAGCTGGAGACTATCAGCACCTGAAGACCACCATGTTGGCTGCCTCTGATAAAGAGATCATGTAGATTTCAACTAGGCTTGCTTCCAAGTAAGTGTTTTGAAGATTGTAGTTGCAAGCTAGAATTAATTTTCTGGTCGCATTTGGGTTATGCAGAACTTGTTTTTTTGCGTGGGGGAGATTGGGGGTATTTATGCTCCCAGTTTAGAAGATGATCCAACTGCCTGATAGAAAGCAAATGAACTTGTGGTGGGAGAAAATGGAGCTCATAGCTGGCTCTTAGCCCAGGTCACCACCGCCAGCCTACGGTAGAAACAGTTTGCCCGTTGCAAAGACAGGAATGCCTTTCAGCCAAGGCTGCCCCTCGATGACGTGCAGTGAGGAGAAATCCATTCCAGCAACGAATCCAACGGAGAAAATATCAATTGGTGTTCTACGCAAAACTGACGCTCTGCCCAATTAACGAAAGAGTTAGATGCGCTCTAAAAATCGACACAACTAATCAACTTTAGGAGAAATCTTTAACCTGACCAAGATGGAAAGGCCTTCCTGGCAAAGCGCCAAGGCTGAAATGAAATTTTGGGAGTCCCTTAACAACAAAAAGTCGAGCCTGCATCCATGTCTGGCATGAACTGAAAAACAGCTGACGTGCTTTGCTTTTGTTTTTCTTTCTGCCAGAAGCATTGCATATGTAGGAGCACAGAGATCGGAGCTTGGTAGCTCCCAAGGGTGGCTGGACCCTTTGGGATTGGTAGAGTGGAAGGCAGAGAGGACAACAGTCGCTTGAGCAGAGCCTCCCGTTGACTGGTTGCAAGTAGACTGAAGTTGGTGGGGCACAGGTGTTAAACGCTGACAAGGTCTCACTCCTCTTTGCAGTTGTGCTGCAGCTTTCTGCACTAACTGCAGATTCCGGATCAGGCACAAGGGAAGGTCTGCATGGAGCGCATTGCATTAATCCAGCCTTGAAGTAACCTATGCATGAGCGACTGTGGCCAGGCTTTCCACTCAAACATGGCTGCAGGACTGCAGCCTGTGTTTTGAATGTGTCATAACTAGAAGATGTCTTGCCAGTTTTTGTTTCAATATTCCAGGGCCCAAGACAGACTTCCTGCTACAGACAGAATGTCAGATAGGGATGGAAGAGAAACTCGATTCAGTTCGCATGTGAAGGCAAACCTATGTAACTTGTAGCTTTTTAAACAAGACAACAATCCGAAACACGGCCACCCTTCAAAATTGGCGCTTCTCTGAATTTTGCAGGGCCAAACAGTGTTTACAAAAATGCATAGGCTGGGCTAAAAATGAAAACGACATGCAAAAGATGCATTACCTGAAGGGAAATTGCTTTGCAAAAATGTGTATGTTAGTGGTAAAATTGCATATGAAAATGTTTGTGGTAGGAGAAATTTGCCCTAAAAAGGTGGATGAATTTTCACAAGGACTTTAAAAAGAAAATTCTACACTGCTGTAGAAACATGGGGAACTGAAATTGGCAGATTTGCTGTTCTGTCGTGTCAAACTGGCTGCCCTTCATTAGGTTAACAAATACTGCTGCTGAGGAGACGAGGTCCTTTTAAAATCATCAGGGCAGCTAAAAGTTCTGCAGTGTTGTCCCTGAGGTAGATTATGTGCACCACTGCAGGAAGGACGCATGACTTCCAGTCCCCTTTTCCCAAAATAGACTAGAGCGCAGTAGAAATTCTCGCCAGGAGGGCTCCTGTTAACAGATGCTAGTTTCAGACTTTATTCTCCAACTCACTTAGGGAAAATCATCTTTAAAGGAACACACACACACACACAGAGAGAGAGAGAAAGAGAGAGAGAGAGAAAGCATTCTTTACAAAGACGGCTTAAAAAATATGTGGTGGTGTTTGGCTTGAGAACACTTCCCACACACTTTAGAACAGGATTTGCAAGGCCTGTGCTGGAGCTCAGTGTTTGCGGCCCTGGAGTAAAGCCAAATCTAGAGACTGGGTTTTAAACCAAGACAGGAAGAAATGCCAAGGGAAACTGTGTATCTGAGAAAGAAATGGCAGGGCACGAGGACACAGGATCAGGATAAAAAGCACAAAACGGTTGCTCATTAACAGATGTTCTAGTCCTCAGGAGTATGGAAACCTGAGGTCATAATAATATCAGGTACTCAACAGGTCCCACCAAGTGGGATTGAAGTCCCTGTGCACTAATTGATGGGCAGGAGGTTTGATCCTGTTTTCTGCACCAACTGTGCCTCTGCCTGCCCCATACATATAGGGCATCAGGTGTGCTACAGCTGGGTGTGGTTTGGGGAAAATGGTCTGACAGGCCAAATGGGGACTGTTTCACATATTCCACACCGGCCAGCCAGGGTTTTTAATCAAGTGTCTTCTCAAAGGGATTTGCAGTCAATCTCCTGATGAGCAGGCAATTATGATAGAGGTGTGTTTTCAGACACCTCTGTCTTGTTCACACTGTCAGTGTTTAGATATAAGCTCCCTTCCACAACTCATTAGTTTCACGTCTTTGAAAAGTAAGTCTGAATAGGCTCTCAGTCTGTGGCAAGCTGTCAAATGTGGCAGTGGGTTTAGATGCAGTCCTTTTATTTCTGTTTTCTTGAGTTCAGTAGCAAAAATGCCAGTTGCAGATATAATATAATAGGCAAGCTTAGCAGTTTTTGACTTTGTTAACTAAATGCCCGCAAAAGAAACCTGTTCGATTAGATCACTTTCCGGGACATCAGAAAATGGTCAGCAGCAAGGCGCCCTAGGGATTTGCATAGGGAAACCTCCCAAATCAATCTTCACCAGAAAACCCACATCACAGATCAGGTCAACTCTGTAATACACCAGGTTTAAGACTCACACCAGGCCAGCAGTCCTTGTTGACATCACTTCTGGTACAGGAGAGATCCTGCCATTTTGAAATCATTGAAGGTGCAAATATGGCTAGACTAAGTGAATTCTTTCTTGATTCAGCACAGTCTCTAAACCTTCTTTCTCCTCTCTTCCAGTGGTTCACCTTCTCCTCACTACTTAACCTCAGTTTTGAAACAGAATCAGGGTCGATCTATCAAAGGTAAGTTGTGCTATCCATTGTCCATCTTTTAGCTCTGCTTTGGGTGGCTTTATAGACTCAGTCTGTGGCCTGGTACAGATGTTGTGGCCAAATTATGGTTTGGTCATCATGAATAACAGATTCCTTCCTGCACTTCCTGGCTTGGGGATTTGAGCACATGGGGAGAGGCAGGAACGCACAACCCCAAAGGCTGTTCACAATGGCCAAACTGTAATTTGGCCACAACATTCGTACTGGATCACAAATCACACAACCTGTGGCCACCACAAACGTATCAGTTTGCATCCCAAACCATGATTTAAACCTGTAGATGTGGTTTAGTTGCAGCATCTGAACTCGGCCTGGTTGTTTCCGGAAGTTCTGTTAAAGGTCTTCTCTCTTGACATTTTCCATTCTAGTTTCTCGTACCAGTCTAAGGCCTCATCTGCACTATCCATTTTAAAGCGGCTCTTTACAACTTTCAACAGTCATCTCTTCCCCCAAAGCATCCTGGGAAGTGTAGTTTGTGGAGGATGTCTATTCCTGTGAGAGCCCCATTCCTATCACAGAGCTACAATTCTCAGAGTGGTTTAACAATCAATTCCTCTTCCCTGGGAACTCTGGGAAATGTAGTTCTGTGAGGAGAATAAGGATCTCCTAACAACTCCCAATCCCCACAACAAAGTAGAGTACCTGGAATTCTTTGGGGGAAGCCATGACTGTTTAGAGTGGTTCGATACTGTTTTGAATACATAGTGCAGATGGGGCCTTAAAGCACCAATTTCATCTGAACTTCAGTCTCGATTCCATCTTCTTTTTTAACAGCTGCATTTGCAATCAGGACTCCTCTAAATCTTAAATTGTTTTTTCCATTTATCATTTAGATGTTTTTCAGCATCTCAACTTGTCTTCCCTTTTCACCTTCTCGATTCTCACCCCTCCCTGCCAGCCCCAGAACCTTGTTTTGCTTCAGTGATTGTCTGGCTATTCCTTCCAACTTTGTAATTGATTAAGCACTTGGAGGAGATTGGGGCGCTGAACAAGATCTCTGTCCACCCATTTTTAAATTGGTTGTTGCAACGATGTGATCTAGAGGACCAGGGTGGTTGGCACCTATCAGCATGAATGTGGGGGAATCCAGTGTGTGTCAGCTGTGGAAAAGGCAAATTCCACACTAGGGATCTTTAGGAATGGGACTGAAAATTAAAGTGCTGATACCACAGTAGCATCAAAGAAATCTATGGTGCAACCACGTTTGGAATAATGTGTGCAGTTCTGGTCGCCTCACCTCAAAAAGGACATTGTAGAGCTTGAGAAGTTTCAGGAAAAGGCACCAAAAATGATCCAAGGGGATCGAGCAACTGCCCTATCAGGGAAGGCCACAACTTTTGACGCTTAGCTTAGAGGTGTGTTAAGAAGGGACATGGTGCTGGTATATAAAATGATTCATGCTCTGGAGAAAAAAAGTTTTTCTCAAAACACTAGAACACATGGGGACCCAGTGACGTTGAATGTTGGAAGATTCAGAACAGACAAAAGAAAGTAGTTTTTCTTGCAGTGTGTAGTTAAAGGAGAGAATTTGCTGCTACAGGACGCAGTGATAGCTTTAAATGAGGATTACACAAATGCATGGAGGATAAATCTGATGATGATGATGATGATGATGATGATGATGATGATAATAATAATAATAATAATAATAATTGTACCCTGCCCATCTGACTGGGTTGCCCCAGGCACTCTGGGCGGCTTCCCATATCTATAAAAAAAGAGAAAAATTAAACATTAAAAAGCTTCCCTATACAGTGGTACCTCGGGTTACATACGCTTCAGGTTACAGACCTCGCTAACCCAGAAATAGTGCTTCAGGTTAAGAACTTTGCTTCAGGGTAAGAACAGAAATCGTGCTCCGGCGGCACAGCAGCAGCGGGAGGGTCCATTAGCTAAAGTGGTGCTTCAGGTTAAGAACAGTTTCAGGTTAAGAACGGACCTCCACAACGAATTAAGTACTTAACCCGAGGTACCACTGTATAGGGGAAGAATAGAATCATAGAATTGTAGAGTTGGAAGGGACCACAAGGGTCATCTAGGCCAACCCCCTGCAATGCAGGAATGTCAGCTAAAGCATCTGTGACAGATGGCCACTCAACCTTTGCTTAAAAACCTCCAAGGAAGGAGAGTCCACCACCTCCCAAGAGAGTCCGTTCCACTGTCAAACAGCTCTTACTGTCAGAAAGCTCTTCCTGATGTTTAGTCAGAATCTCCTTTCCTGCAACTTGAAGCCACTAGTTCGAGTCCTGCCCTCCAGAGCAGGAGAAGACATAGCCGGCCGGTATGGCTATGTTTCACTGCCTCCCCTGTCAGAGGCAGTATGCTGGGAATCACAAGCAGGAATTGGAGGCTTCCCATGGGCATGTGGTTGGCCAATACGAGGACAAGATGCTGCACTGGGTGGGCAGGCAGGGCTTGGCAATTGCTTAACTCTGAAGCTTGCTAGGTATCCTTGGTCAAGACACTTACCTCACTTCTTATCCTAAGCCATGGGGTAGGCAAACTAAGGCCTGGGGGCCAGATCTGGCCAAATCGCCTTCTAAATCTGGCCAGCGGACGGTCCGGGAATCAGTGTATTTTTACATGAGTAGAATGTATGCTTTTATTTAAAATGCATCTCTGAGTTATTTGTGGGGCATAGGAATTCGTTCATCCCCCCCCAAAAAAATATAGTTCACCCCCCCCATAGTTCACCCCCCCCACAAGGTCTGAGGGACAGTGGACCCGGCCCCCTGCTGAAAAAGTTTGCTGACCCCTGTCCTAAAAACGAAGTGTGTTTTTAAAAGCATGGTCATGTTTCACTCCTCTAGATGAAACCTAATGGGAGACAATTTCCTTTTCCTTTTCCAGACTCTGATATTGATGCTGCTACTGCCATGATGCTCTTGAATACTTCCATTGAAGAAGGCATTTTAGATTGTAAGTAAAAATAAGTTTTTGCTGCCTTTCTGTTTCTCAGTGATGCTGCTGAGTTAGAGCGGCTGATGGTTTCACAGAAAACACTTGAGGCCATTTATTTCTTGTTTGTTTGTTTGTTTGTTTTAAAAAGCCCTCCTTTAGAATATTGATTTGTGACATGAAACGAAATAATGTACACCCTGTTTGCTTGGTAGAAAGCCCCGTTGTGTCCAGCTGGACTTACTTGCAGGTAAATGTCTTTAGGATTACAGCACAAGCTAAATCTTGTTACTTTGAAACGGTACCACATCTTGGAATGCGTATATGGCTTATTTATTTGTACCTGTAATTTTAAATACTGACAGCTCATATTACACCATTAATGTTAAACTAAGACAGTTTTAACGAAGCAGTTGGTTACTCTATTCAAATCCTTTACCCAAATTACGCTTCTTTTCCCTCCAACACCCGCCCCCCAATTCAGCCTCATCTACACTATAACTGGGGATTCTGCTAGAAGCCTCTTTTCCAACCCTTTGCTGAGCTTTCGTCCTGCAGCAATGCCCTGGAAATATTCCCTGTAATACTCCTCCTACCTGTCACCGTTCAAAGATGTTCCTCACTTCTCCTCTTGGAGCTGCAGACAGGCCTTTTTTCTCCCTGCCTTTTCAGCCTAGGTTGGCTAGTTCAAGTAGGCCCAGCAAGTCTTTGGTCACTGTGCCTCTCCTTCTGCCTCTCAGGTCTTCCTCCTCCTTCAGCTTCTTTCTTCTTCTGGCTCTCTGCTGACCAGTGCCGGGCTATATATACACTCCTCTGGCCCAACCCCGGCCAATCATGCGGTGTAACTGAAAATTCTAAACCTGCACCCACCAATCAAAGACGCACACCTTCTATCCTTCATTTGCATTCCGAGAATTCGAACGCCAAACCTTCCTCACAGCTGTCAGTTAAAGCCCTGTTCAGCCACAGTTAAACCAACTGTTGCCGGACCAGACAGAAAACTTCCCACATAAATGTACGTTCCAAATCAAATGTTGGGAGTGCCTTACACAATGCATGGGATTTCTCAACAACAGGGTCCAATAAATTCTGAAGGGCACTGTGGTAACTGTTATTAGTCTATTTATTAAATTTGCTTACTGCCCTTCATCTGTAGATACCGGAGCGGTTCGTGACATAAAAATACAAAAAACACAAATCAATAAGCCACCCCCCACTCTTGCCTTAGACTGTTCCAAGTGCACCAGTATTTATTATTTTTAATACATCACGACAGCAACAACAAAACAGAAGAGAAAACAACACACACAGCAATAAAAAGATATTAGAAATTAGATAATGACAATAAAAGTTACAAAAGTAACTAAATTTATTTATTATTAGATCTGTTTGTTATGGGACGGAGGTGGCGCTCTGGTCTAAACCACTGAGCCTCTGGGCTTGCCGATCAGAAGGTTGGCGGTTCAAATCCCCACAACGGAGTGAGCTCCTTTTGCTCTGTCCCAGCTCCTGCCAACCTAGCAGTTCGAAAGCACGTCAAAGAAGAGCAAGTCGATAAATAGGTACCACTCCGGTGGGAAGGTAAACAGCGTTTCCTTGCTCTGCTCTGGTTTTGCCAGAAGTGGATTAGGCATGCTGGCCACATGACCCGGAAAAACTGTCTGCAGACAAACATCGGCTCCCTTAGCCAGTAAAGCGAGATAAGCGCCGCAACCCCAGAGTCTTCTGCGACTGGACTTACCTGTCAGGGGTCCTTTACCTTTTGATATCTGTTTGTTAAACTAACAGTGTGTCCTTCCTTCGAAAGCAGCCCAGGGCACCAAACACATCTGTAATAAAAACACAATTAGAAATAAAGTGAAGATGTATTTAAAGAAGGTTTTTGGCATCTAAAAACAACAGATCGTAACAAAATAATGTGTCTGGACAGGCCTGCCAAAACAGAAAAGTTTTCAGCAGGGGTCTAAATCAGCGTTTCCCAAAGTGAGTGGTCCTGCCCCCCCCCAGGTGGCGGGATTGCCTGGGGGGGTGCTAAGGGGTCACAGAGGAGGCGACAGGGGGGCACTGGAGGTGTAAATAACTATCAGACTTTGGAAAGCTGGTATCACTGGATCAAATTCACCCATTTTTAAAAACAATTAAACCACTGCACATAGTTTTAACTGGATTTTGGATAAAAGTGCCATTAATGGTTACTGTTTTGAATTTTATCGTGTTGTTATTTTCCTTCGTGGGTCTTAGAAACCGCTATTCTGAATAATGCTTTCTGTAGGGTACGGGGCAATAGGGATGAGTTAATGGAGTTAAGTGGCCCGGAAATCTTTGGGAACCTCAGGTCTAAAAGATGGCGCTTGCCGAACGCTGGTATTTGAAACCTGACCCCTTTCATGGAATCCATAGCCAGCTGCAGAAATACTGCCCCAAACATCTGGAGGGCATCAGGGTGGGCTGGGGTGGGGAGGCACTGATCCCTCCCACTTCTGAGAAGACTCTTTATTTTCCTCAGGTAAGAAGCCGCAGCCTCTCAAGCTGTCCAAGAAAAGGAATTACGTCAGCACGTTCCAAAGCCACGGCAAGGCAAGTCCCGGGGGGAGCCATTTCCCCGTCCCCAACATTGACCCCAACGAGGACCACAACTACAGTGCCAGCAGCGTGGCCTCGCAGCGCTGCGTGTCGCCCTCGAGTGTGTCTTCCCTGTCGTCCGTCGACGAGGTCTACGAGTTTGTCTCCGAGGCCAGCCGGGTGGGGAGCGAGGGCAGCGAAGGGTTCCACAGCGAGGTGGACACGGACGGAGACGACCGCGAAGAGGACGACGACGACCCCCTGGCCGATAGCGGCTACACCTCGCAGCCGTGCCTCGCCGCCTCGGACAAGGCCCAGCCTCGCAAGAAAGCCCTGGAGGAGCTCTGCCTCGAAATCGACGAGGAACTGAAAGAGGCGGCCGGGTCTCTGCTTCATCTAGCCGGGATTAGCCCCTGTCTAGGCTCCCTCATAAGTACTGCAAAGACCCATAGCCAGAAACGAAGGAGAAGGAATGACGTCACAGCCTGAGAAGTGTGTTTGGGGACGGGGGGGGGGGAGGGAGAAGATACGTCTATCAATAGAGATAAATGCATATTTTATTTTTTAGCGTGGCAATACTCCTCTACTTTTTACCCTTCACAAGGGAGATCAAAGCCATAAAAGGACTTTTTGTTCATGTATTTTTATTTTCACAGATTCTAGTTTTGCAATTTGTTTCTTTTTCTAATTGCAAAAGCGGTGGTTTTGAAGCATTGAAGAGCGGATTACAATTGTGCAAAACAGGTGGGGCAGGGGCAAAACCAACCAACCAACACAGCAGTTCCTTCCCCCTGATAATTTTAGCAAAGTTGAATATTTGAGTTTATTGGAGGAGTGGGTGCCATTATCTCTGTCATCTCATACCTTGAACGTCTCTTTGGGTTTGGAACCTGGGGGCTTCATTTGACCTGTCTGAGTTCATAGGGCTCTGCGCAGAGAACAGGGCAGCCAACCAAATGTTGGGAGCTGGACTGCAGCTCCCTTCTGCCCTCCCCATTGGCTGTGCTGGCAGGGGTTGATGGGAGTTGTAGTCCAACAGCATCTAGAGGGCCACACATGCGCCATTTCCTCCAATGGGAGTGTAGAATTGTGCCTTGCTTCCTGGCGCACCTGTTCCGCAGCGAGACCTGGTGTTTGTATGTTAGGCGCATAAAACCCAATGTGTAGCCGGTCTTTCTCTAATTTTTAGGGGAGAGGGTGGAGTGGATGCAGTGCCTGCATTGAACTCTACACATGTAGTTCTCAGCCTGCATAATTTTTGGCCCTCAAAGATCAGTCGGTGGAGATCAAGCGGGAAAAGGCTACATGGACTGTCTCCTGTTCCAGATTGACATGCAATTCACAAATCCCAGGTGGGACTGAAAGTGGAGGGAGGTGCATTGGGAGCAGGAGAATAAGCAGGCGCAATCCTGCCCCCTCTCTCTGTGCCCACGGGCTCCTACCTCTCTTGGTTCTAGACCAGGGGTAGTCAACATGGTGCTCTTCCAGTTTTGGACAACATCTTCCACCCTTCTTGATCAAAGTCCATGCTGGTTGGGGCTGATGGGACTTGGGAGTCCAGCAAGAATGGAAGGGCATGGAGTTGACTATCCCTGAGCTGGTTCTGACACCTTCACGTGTTCTGATTTAAGTATTTGCAAATGCAGGATAAGGTCTACCAGCTTTCAGCTTGGCTTCCGTTGTTGCGTAATTGTCTCATGTGCAAGCCGAGGGTCTGGAAAAACCTGAATACTAGACAACTGCCATCGTGGGCCAGTTACCGATTGACTGATGACTGCAATAACACAGGGAGGGTGTTGGGAATGCAACATGTAAACGTGGATGTTTTTGAGACTCTTGAAGGGTTTATCTCCACTCTTATCCTCACCTTCCTTGGAACAGCACAAAGTAAGGAGCTGGTTCCTTTTCTTTTCTTTCTTTCTTTCTTTCTTTCTTTCTTTCTTTCTTTCTTTCTTTCTTTCTTTCTTATAGTTATTATATTTTAGATCTTCAGCACACACTTTATTAGCAAACCCAATGTTCTTTTGGTCTCGATATCCAGATTGAGTGAAAAATGTTGACTGCTAAAATTATAAATGGCTGTTGCACAGAGAACTTGTAGTTACATGTTCAGGTGAAGCATAATGAAATGGGTTTCTTTCTTTTCTTTTTAAGGTTACGGTGGTTGATACTGGCCTACTTCTCACTGAGGAGAAAAGCTTGTTCTGGACTGTACCATTTTAGGCTACAGGTGAGGGCACACACAATTGGTTACTGTTCTGCGTGAAGCAGAAAACCTCAAATAGAAAACTAGGTGTCCAGGGGAAGGACTCTAGTCTGGCTTTCTTCCCGACATCGAGTTCTTTTAAATGTAAAAATCATTCAAATCGCGGTGCAGCTTTACACTGTGTGAGCCCCCACCTGCAGTCAGAAGCAGAACCGTACAAACAGAGCTGGCAGCCTCAATGAGGACTAGGTTCTTGAATGCATTCTTACTCCACTTGGAAAACCGGCCTTTTTTCCTTCTCTTCTACTGTGTGCTTCAGTTTTGCACTGTATTAACCTAGCATCCCTCAAGAAGACAGTATATAATACGCAGCCTTAAAGGGCACCATTTTCTAAACGTGTGTGCGCGCAGGGTCACGCTCCCTCCTTAAGACTCTGAGAGGAGCTTAGGAAACGCCTGCGGTTGATGGTTAGCCGTCCGTCCCATCTTCCTTGGGGAGCAGTGACCGTTGGAGCGAAATCCTGGCTCCTGTTAAAATCAGCGGGAATTTTGCCATGGTTCGTGCAGCCAGAACGGCACCTTTCTTTTTATCCGTTATCGCAGCAATAATATCCCCTCCCTTGTCAAGTGTCAAGGAAGCCCAAGAGCTCTGTGCTTGCTCTTCCGCCAACACAGTATTCTAGCGCGTGCTTAAAATGTAATGTGGGAATGGTAAAGATGCGCCTGTGAAGGTCCAGAGACCTTCCATCTTCTGACACAGCCCTTTCTGTGCGATGACGTATGCCTCGTGCATGCACTTCCACGGGAAACCTTTGTGTATTTTACCATTCCCACGAACCATAACACAGGATGTTTGTGTCCTCCTGGGTCTTCTGTGGTGGCTGCTGTGTTGTTTGGCTGCTGTTAGGCAGCTGGAGGCATCGTTGCCTGAATGGTGCGGCCCGTCTGCCATCCAGGTGTGTAGTCCAGCCTAGACCTTTTGCTGTTCCTGGCTCTTGTAATGATGAGTTTTGGAGATGGAGGGAAGGACCCACATGTATCACCGAGGGGGGTGGGATGGATCCTGCACCCATGTCCTGTTGGGAAATGGCCCTGACTGGAGTGAAATGGTAGTCTGGGAAGTGGATTGTCACGGTGCCACTGGAAAGATCTCCCATGTCAGTCCCATCTGAGTCTCTCCAGGGAGCCACAGCCAAGCTCTTACCCCACTCCTGTTCCTTTCGGTGGATGCTTGTGCAGGAAACATTTCCGCGAAGTTCGCCCTGTGGTTCCGAGAACCCCTTGAGCGTTCTTTTGCAACGATCAAAGCATTAGCGTAGCTCATTCTGCCTGGCATGGAAGGTCAGCTTGAAGTGCCATTTTTTAATTTGTTTCCCCTGTTTCCGAGTGTTGAGCAGTCACGAGCGGCTGGTTAAGCAAACCTCGCCTCCCCATTAGCAAAATGCTTCCAGGTTGGCAGAGAACGAAGGCGGGAAGCTAAACTTCTATTAATGGTGCAGAGCTTCTCTGGTGACTAAGCCAGAGGTGGTCAAGATTTCACTGCCTCTTCATGAACGCAAGCCGCCTTATACACCCGGTATAAACTCTGCCAGCTTAATAATTCTTGAAACCATTCTGCAGATACACACACGCCCCATCCCTCACGCCTTCCGTATGTCTTGGGCTACCAGTTCCATTGCTCCTGACCATTGGCCATATTGGGTGTGACTGATGGGAACTGGAGCTCAGCAAGATCCAGAAAGCATCCCATTGGCTACCCTTGCTGTGGACTTTCAATGCCTTGGGCTGGGATCCAGTGAACCCAAACCAGGCTTTCTCCCAGCTCTGGACCTTGACGTGGTTTGCTGGATCCCAACTACTCTCAACTGCATAATCTGGTCAAGAGATTCTCCCAGTGTAGGCCTTACGATTGCAAGGATTTATGTAGCATTCCACCCCCTCCCGGAATTTCAGAGGAAATCTTTCGTTCAAATGGTAGTAAACTGTAAATGGCTCTTGCTCTGTAATCATGTTGCTAGTTTCTAGACAAAAAAAAAAGTCTCTAATGCATGGGTGTTTGCACGCTCTCACCTGTTTGTACACCACTTTCTCTGATGTAAAAGTCTATAAACGCCAATGGTGCCCATCGTGTATGTTGCCTGCTGCTTCTCTTCTCCCCAGAGGTTCTGATGGATTGGCCAAAACAACCTTCTTGCCGAAAGCCCCTCTAGAGCCCTTTCCTGTGTCACTGTTTTGCTTCCCAGAACTTCACGGCAACAAGTCAAACATGGGAAGGGTTTACAAGTGGGTCTACCTGCAAGTCAGACATGATGCTTTGTGGTTTATTTCCAAGAAAAAGTTTATAGGTTTTAAAAAGAAATTGAATACTCTCAAAGGACATCTTTAAGAGATCCACTAGAACAAAAGAAAACAGAAGCCTGGCTTGGTAAGCCTCTGGTGGAGGAGTCAACATGGTGATCTCTAGGTGTTTAAAACCACAGCTCACACCACCCCTGGCTATTGGCCAGACATTTAGAGGGTACCACATTGACTGCGTACAGCCCATGGGTTAAAATCCTTTAAATTTAAAAGTTCTTATTTGCTGTACAAAGAGGGTGTTCAGTGGACCTCTTTGTGCAGGCTGTTCTTAAGGTTGTGGTGCCACGACAGAAAAGGCTCTGCTCTACGTTTCGCTAGATCTCACCTCCATAAAACAACACCCAGAGTGGAATACTGCCTGCTGGTCTTGGGGTGGTTTATATGGGGGGAGGTCTTCCAGCAGATATGCTGAGCCGAGGCTGCTTGAAGACTCTGACTGCCATGTTTTCAAGGGCGCCCACAGGTCATTTTGAATATTGGCTGTTGAAGATTTTAACAGAATGGAAACTAAAACAATTGGGAGCAGTTGAACAATACCCACAAAACTACTATCATAGCAGCTTGGGGATCAGTTTGTGTGTCATTAGGTGGGATTAATTTGCAAAATATTTTTCATTCAATAGAAACTACCGAAGCTGTAGATTTGGCAGAAATGCAGAGAAAGAAAGGGGCCAATAGATGCTCATGTCTGAACTTGCGAATGGCTCTAGATGGACACCCTTCCCATGTCATGGCTTTTGCTGCAGGTGTGACTTGTAAGCCCACCTCCTTAAGTGAAAAAACGATGTCCTACTAAGTGGTCTTGAGCACCTGCCGCATGGGGGTTGAATGTGAACTCATTGCAAATGGACAAGCTTGTAAATTAAGTGCAAATGCACATCTTTAAATTCCTGTATGTCGTATGTGCTGAAAAGAGGTGTCCCTCCCATTAACATTCGTCCAAAATAAGTGTTCAATAACTTACGTGGTGTGGAATTTGTTTTTGTACTAATACAGATAACGATAGGGCTGGATTTTATTTATTTTTTAAATAATAAAAAGGACGTGTTTCTTTCATTCTTGTGTATCTTTTGAAAGCCGGCAAGAACTAAACTCAATTCCGGCTAAAATTGACCAGATTTCCAAATGAGGCTCCTTTCCCCCCCAGAACTTGTTGGATCAGTCTTGTTGTCTTACACCTGACCTGTTCCGTCGGCCATTTTGCTCTTCTTCCCTTAACCTCTGCCTCCCTGCCTGCCAGACACTGGTGTGTGCAGAATTGTCCCCCTGCGTCCTCCCTCTTTATTAGTGAAGTATCTAGTGTCACTTTTGTGCCGGGAAATGTGCTGTACTTGTTAGCCGTTTCATTAATTAGGTTTTCTTGATTTTCCACGGACAAAGGCAGAGCAATAACACGGGAACATGGCCCCGTGGCGTGGGAACAAAAGTAGGAGGAACAAAACCTCCGCTGTGAGTCCGAATTAAAGGGCTGAAACTAGTGGCAGTGTAATGACGTTGTCGCCTGGTGCTTGGGATCTGATGGGGTGCATTTGGATGACCCTGTATGCCATAGACCATGTTTTACCGCGGTCAAGCAGTGGACTAGTGCAGGCTCCCCAATTTTGTTCCGCCGTGTTGCTTACTGTGTGGTGTCTGAACTGGTGCTTCGGGTTTGTTTCTCTCCAAACAAACCATTGCTTGAAGCCAAGGTCTGCTCTTGTCTTCCTGGTAGCGTCTTGTTTGGGAGTATGAAACAGTGGGCGCTGGTGCAGACGCCATGGGATGCCAAGGCCCAGGGTTGCCTGAGCTAGTGGAAGAGTGTAGCAGCAAGGAACTGGGAGTCTGTCCCAGCACTCTGCTCACTCACGGTAAGCCATGGTCCACCTGAATGCTGCCCCTGGAAGGATGGAATTCTGCATTCCATCACTTCAACCATTGTCATCTAACCTACAGGTGGGAAGTAGTGGGGGTTTTTTGCTTTTGTTCGCGTTAAAACCATCACCGCTCCCTGCATGTAGAAACTCAGCACCTTAGAGGGAGGTTTCGTACAACTCTCTTTCTGATAATGCTATGCGCACAAATCTTTTTTCATTTGGTGGGTGGGTGGAGTTGGAAAAAAAAAATCACAGACACACAACTCCCGAATTTTGAATGGCTCTGCCTGGAGTTTTACATCCTTATTAGAACAATTTGGAGACTGCGTGGTAACAGGTGAAGAGTTGATCCCTTTCCCTAATGCATTGTGGGAAAAGTTCAGGGAAGGGAACTGCCACACTCGCATTCCCAGGGTGGCCAGAATTCACCCCTCCGATTCCCACATCAGCTTGTACACAACAGCTCTGCCATCCTGGGGCAAACATGTGGTGTGAGCAAGTATTTGCTCCCCAATTTTTCAGCATTGGGGGGTCCGTGAACCCTGTCGGTCTGCTACCGTAGTTCGGATTATGTGCTTTTCCTTCGTGGGCTTTCAACCTGTGTGTCTTCCTATGGCAAGACTCCACGCAGACTTCTGTTCCAGCAAACAGAGAAAAGTTTCCAGGATTTCTCTATCTCAGCCCTTCCCCATCTCACTTTTCTGTGGCAAAGTCCTTGATTTCTTTGCATCCGGTTAGCTCTGGCGTAGCGGGGAAATACCCAAGGATGTCTGGCGTTTCTGTACATACATCCCTTCCTTGAAAATTTCCTCCTTCCCTGCAGGTCTGGGACTTTGACCCTCTGCTGTTCCCAACAACACAGGTTAGGATGGCCACAAGGCAGAATCAAACATTGATAGAGAAGTATTAACGCAGGTCCCTCACTCATGATAGTGGCAGGTTGCATACCTGTGCATTTGCAAGTGCTGCTGACTTTGCTATCCAGGGCATGAAACGAAGGGCAGTTGTTCTCTAAATGCACCTTGAAAGGATGTTAATGCCTTTTTAATTGTTCAGTGGTGCTTCTCCTTTCTCTTCCTTATTTTGGCCTTTCCTGCCTATTAAAAGGCGCCGGTTTGCATACTGCCAGCGGCAGAGTGCCTCTGCACCTACTTTTTCTCTTCCAAGAATAGCTGAGTCCCAGGTTGCACCTGGATTTACAAGCCTTCGTTTTGCCAACACGACATGCCCTTTTAATATAAGTTGTTTTGAATGAGAATTAATTGGTGACTTCAGAAGAAGTAACGTGGAACAGTCCTCCTTAGACTATACCGCTTTAGAGTGCAGATGTGTGTGCGTGTGTGAATCGGGCACATAGAAAACCAGCTTGTCTGTGAGAAGGCTAGGCTAGAACCTTTATCCTTGACATGTGAGCCTTCTGCCTGCAGGGAGTTTGTGCAGAAGTCATTAATAAATCCTGCCGCCCCCACCCCTTATGTTCTGCAGTGCAATTCCTGGATGACTGTGCCATATACTATTTTCTGTCCATGTAGCTCAGCTTTTAATTACCCTTGATTATTTTTTATTGTTGCTATTGTTGTCGTTGTTGTTATTGCTCAGTTCTTAAAACAGGCTAATCTAGTCCTATCAAGTCAAAAGGATGAACGAAACCTTTTTGTTGTTGTTGTTGCCACTATAAGGGTAGGAGCAGGTAGATCTCGTGGTTCAGCAATTGCAGGATCTCTTTGGAGAAAAGAGCTGCTACCCGTTGGAGACGCGAAAGCGTTGACAGTGACGGTGGCAGTATTCATGAAGATATACGTTGATGGTGTGTTAGGCCGAAAGGAGCCTCCCAATTTCAGTTTCTCCCATGCAATGTGTGGGACCACCCACCCTTCTGTTGAACTCCACTGCCTTGTTGCCACTGGTCAGGAAATTTGTGTGGCATAATGATTTGGGGGTGAGGAGGAGCTGCCCTATGCATTGTAGGGAGAGAAACGGAGGACACAGGCAATGCCATTGGCCGTAGCAATTCCGTGCCAAGTGTTCAAGTATAGTTCTGATGTTCGTGAGGTTTTGAGGGTTTCGGGTTGCTTTTCTTTTTGCTCTTTCCTTCATGCTTTTTAAACTTTGTAAATGAGTTGAAATCAGCAGCAGCAGGGGGGAGATGTTAAACGTAGCTTCCTCAAGCGCTAAAGATTGCCCTGGAGAGGTTTCTGGAAGAGGGTCGCCCCTACTTGAGATAACAACTGCCGGCTGTGCTGTGCAAATCTTTAGCTCTTTCATATTCCAGTGCTTAAATTATAGCTTCCAGGAGAATTGCAGGCAATCCTTTCTAGAGGGGAAAAAAGCCCAACTTTTTGAACTTGTATGGTTTTTGCAGCTTCTTTGTTTGGCTAAATCAAGCGCTTTGGTTAAAGCAAAGGATGCCCCGCCATGCTAATAATGGTGTAGTCAAAATATTTATTGAAAAAGAAGAGTAGAGTATTTTTAAAAATATTGTACCTGCCATTTATTGGGGGGGGGGGATCGCATTCTCCACAGCTTAACTGCCAGTGCCAATAAAAGGTCTGTTTTTAGAAATGTACATTTCCCCCCAGACTTAAAGTGCATAATTTAAAAAGTATTATGTTGCCATCTTACAGTGATATATGAAACCATTTACAATTGCCAATTCATTGTAACTATTATTTATTGAAGAGGTGGAAATTGTACGAATGCTTTCGGATCAAAGTAACTGGAGTTCTTTCTAATGATCCCCGTTTGCCTGTTTTCTTAGAATTTACTTAGAATAAAACTCTGCCAGTAGATAAAAACACCATTCTAACCCCTTTATACCTTGAGCCCAGTTGAGTAGCTTGCCTGGTTTAAAGACAATTTTACAGATATTTTAGTTTTTGTATGCTAACCTCTATTAATTGAAATGTTTATGGAGTTTATTTTTACCAAAGAGATGCAATTCATTATGATAAAAGTATTTCAAAATAAACTTTGTTTTATAACATTCTTGAGTGATGTATTTTGTGGGTGACATTACAAGAGAACAAGGGAGGTGTTCATGGTGAGTTCCGGCACCTCTTTTTCTAGTTAAAATAGCACTGTGGATAGACAAGATTGCAGAGCTTTATACTTTTGAAGACCCATTCCTGTAAATTCAAGTTACAGTTACTCTGCATATTTGACACTTTGCTGCTCGTTTTGATTTACAGTCGTACCCTGGTTGAAGAACGCCTTGCGACTCAAACATTTTGGCTCCTGAACGCCAGAAACCCGGAAGTGATTGTTCCAGTTTGCAAACGTTCTTTGGAACCTGAACATCCTCTGTGGCTTCCGATTGGCTGCAGGAGCTTCCTGCAGCCAATTGGAAGCTGTGCCTTGTTTCTGAACGTTTTGGAAGTCAAATGGACTTCTGGAACGGATTCCGTTTGACTTCCGAGGTACCACTGTATTAGGCCATGGTGGGGGAGTGGTGGATAGAGGATTCCTCTCCACATGAAATGTTTTGCTGTGGGTGGGTGGAGCAAGGGGGATCATGAGGTTGCCACTTTACTGAAGCTAAGCGAGCTTAGGTCTGGTCAGTGCCAGCACTGGGTGTCCGGGGAACCACAGAATCATATGATCATCTAGTCCAACCCCCTGCAATGCAGGAAGTTTCTGCTTTGGGTTCCAGGATGGATGGAAGGAAGGCAGGATAGAAATTTAAGTGAGGGAGCGATGAACTAAGGGGAACCCTTTGCCTGTCCACTGTTTATCAGGCAGAGGCTCAGAGAAAATTCTGTTTCCCATGCACCTCTACCTAATTCTCCTTTTCGTTGGAACCCTTCGCTCTCAGCTCTTGAAACCTCTCAGGAGAGGGGCAGCCATTTCTTAACTTCAAGGAAGTACGTGGGCTGGTATGCTTGCTGATACCATTGTGATGGAGGCTGAAACCACTGCTGATGATGGTATCTCCATTTAATCAAGGAACAGGCAGCTCCCTGCCCTTCAATAGTCTTGCAATTTGCTTGCCTCAGAATGGTACAATTCTAGTGTAAAGCCTGTCACACCTGGCGGGATGCCAAGGCAGGATCCTCTCCCTTCTGCACCTTCCTGCCCCTCTATAATGTTTCTGAGGGGCTGAGGGCTGCCCAAGAGGAGGAGTTGTAGAGTTGGAAATGATCCCAAGGGTCATCCAGTCCAACCCCTTGCAATGCAGGAATCTCAATGCGTGGTCCCCCCTCCAATTTGAAACCCTACCAGACCCTGCTTAGCTTTGCAAACGTGCCAGCAGTTTTATTGCTGCATCATTAGGTAGTTGTTCCCCCTTAGAGCAGAAGTGGGGGTCATTTTTTTCAGCCAGAGCACCACATTCCATTGTAAGTATACTTCCAAGGCCTGTATGCTGGGAGTCAGAGGCAAGCATGGGAAAAGGAAGTGAATAAGAAGAGATGTGACTCTTAACAGCGGGTTACCTTTTAGCAATGCCAAAGTCAAGAGGTGTCTAGTAAGAACACCAGTGCTTTCTGGATCAGGGCAATGATTCATCTGGTGCAGGATCCTGCTCTCAGAGTGGCCAACTAGATACCTATGGAAAGCCGCAAGCAAGACCCAAGCACACTAACACTCCTCCCATGGTTTGTTTCTGAGTACGTTTCCGAGCACAATTCAAAGTGTTGGTGCTGACCTTTAAAGCCCTAAATGGCCTCGGTCCAGTATACTTGAAGGAACGTCTCCACCCCATTGTTCTACCCAGACACTGAGGTCCAGCGCCGAGGGCCTTCTGGCGGTTCCCTCACTGAGAGAAGCCAAGTTACAGGGAACCAGGCAGAGGGCCTTCTTGGTAGTGGCGCCCGCCCTGTGGAACTCCCTCCCACCAGATGTCCAAGAGAACAACAACTACCAGACTTTTAGGAGACATCTGAAGGCAGCCCTGTTTAGGGAAGCTTTTAATGTTTGATGCAATACTGTATTTTAATATTTTGTTGGAGGCTGCCCAGAGTGGCTGGGGAGGCCCAGCCAGATGGGCGGGGTATAAATAAATAATAAATTATTATTATTATTTATTATTTATTATTATTTGCAGCAACTGAATTTCAGGAAGAGACTGCCTCACATAGGCATCATGGCTAGTGGCCACTGAAAGCCGTATCCTCCATTAGTTTCTCCAATGTGTGTGTGCTGAAACCAGGGCCGGCCCGCCCATGAGGTGGTCTGGGGCAGTCGCCTCAGGCGGCAGAATCCTTAGGGACAGTGCCCCTGTGAGCACCTCACCAACCTGTCAGAGAAGCAAGGAGAAGCCGAGGGGATGGCCATTTCCAGCGAGATCTCGCTGAGCTCTTGTGAGCTCTTTCTGCTGCTGCTGCTTCTCCTCACATTTCTGGAGTCAATCCAGGTAAATAAGGCTTGGGATGCGGAGAGGCAGCGCCATTTTGGGGTCTATGGCTTGCAGAAGCCCTTTGTACTTCTGGCCAGCGAGAGAGAAGCTTGGAGGACTATCTGTGGGTCCCAGGCCTGAGCCTTTCCTCCTTTGCCCTGGAGAAACTGCCTTAGGAATCCGCAAGGTCCTTCCTTGGGAATTTCCCCTGGAACCGGTTTTAAAAGTAGTTGCCTTTCTTTGTAAAAGAAAAATTTTGGAGCTCTTGTCAAGCGGTATGATGTCATCTCCACCCAATCATAACCTGCTTTGTGTGAGCAGAAGGTTGACTCTCTAGGGGAAGTACCCCGTGAATGACAGTAGCATCCCATGCTGCAGTTGCTAGGCAACTGAGCCAGCTTTCGGCAAGACCTAATTTTAAAGGGTTTAACTCTAGAAGAGCCAGGATTCATCGTACCTAGAGTGGTTTCTGGGCTGTTTGTGGATATGTTGTTGTTGTTTAAGAAATGGTTTCAGGGAGGGTTAGAACATTTGCTCTGTATTTAAATAACATACACTAGAGAAATATTTACCCTTACATTGGGAGGGCTGGGAAGTCAGGCTGAAATCACTGTTGCATACATGCCCTGGCAAATTCAGTATGGAGACACATTTCCCCTTTCTACAATGTCCTTGTCAGTGAGGACTTGGCAGAGGCCAGATCTGCTCCCCAAAGGGGAGTGATATACTTTTCTGCATAAGAGATAAAGGCAGCCATTTACAGACCCTCTGAGTGCCTCTATTTTCCAGGGACAGTCCTGGATTTATAGAAGCCATCCCGGTTTCTGATTTGATCCTGGAATGTCCGGCTTTTCCTTATGACGTCCCTGTTTTCATCGGAGAAGTGTTGGAGGGCATGGAGTTACCCGACCCCTGAGCCATCTGAAGGCAGCACTGTATAGAGAAGTTTTTTTAATGTTTAATGTTTTGTTATATTTTATATACAGTGGTACCTTGGGTTAAGCATGATTTCTGTTCTCATCCTGAAGCAAAGTTCTTAACCCGAGGTACCATTTATGGGTTAGTGGAGTCTGTAACCTGAAGCGTATGTAACCTGAAGCGTATGTAACCCGAGGTACCACTGTATGCTGGAAGCTACCCAGGCTGCCTGGAGTGAGCCAGTTAGATGGGTAAGGTATAAATAGTACAACAACAACAACAATTATTATTAAGTATAATAATAATTTTATTTAATTATAAATTTAAAATTTTATTTATATCCCGCCCTCCCCAGCCAAAGCCGGACTCAGAGCGGCTAATAAAATCACAATCAATTAATTGAAATGCATTCTAAAATAATTTCAAAATCAAATGAATGGCATTATTATTATTAGTTGTTGTTTGTTGTTGAATAGGACGTCCCTGTTTTCACTGGAGAAATGTTGGAGCGTATGCTTTGCTAATATGCAACAAGCAAATGGTTGTGCTTGCAGATTCCATAGGAATAGTGGCTACAAAAAGTCCTGCTGGTGAAGACCAGTGTGTGTCAAGCAAGAGGCAGGTTTTGCTAGGCCTGATGTTAATATGTGGCATCAGGGAACAGCAACTGGGGAACCAGCGCTCTGCCAGAGCCTATCCCTGATGCCAACTAAGGTGCCCATAAAGTTTTGAGGTTATCCAATCAGTGCCAGGCTGAAGTTCTCACCCTGGGCCAGCAGGGGGATACTGTAGATAGTTTTGACTCAGGTGCACATATGCAAATAAGGGATTGAAAGTGACGGTCAGTGATTGGATAGTTACAGAAAGTTGTTACTGTTGCGTTGTAGTGGAACTCTATATAAGCAGGCTGGCTGAACCCTTCAGTTCAGTTCTGTTCTGGGTCTGTGAATAAACAAGAGCTGTTTGAAGAATTGCTGTGTCGTCTGATATGTTCACCCACAACTTAACAGTACCGACTGCCACTTTTAAGTTTCCCACAATGCCCTGGACTGAACCTACCTCAGGGCATAGTGAGAAATGAAACAGAAACTCACAGCCACTTGGCCTGTATCAGGAATAAAGGGAGATGCCTTAAACCAAGTTATTACAGGATCTGAAAACCATACACATGTACAATAAACTGGAGTCGTTGTCAAATGCATCTCCCTCTCTATTTTAAAATGATGCAATGTGGTTTATTTGGCCCCAATATCATATTAGTAAAGTGTTTTTTGCAAGTATGGAGGATTAAAATAAGCTTAGGAGAAAAGTGCAGAACAGAGGTTTTACATGGGATCTTGCTGTGGCAACATCAATAGCCCATAATGCTTCCCTAGCATCACAATATTTTATGGATTTTATGTGTAACCAAGCACACACCTGTCTGTACATTCTGCTCTCCCCCTCAGGCCTGGTTTTCTAAGTACAGTAAAGAATAACTGGGTTTGGAGAGATTTAAAAGGCACTGCCTGTACAAGAGAGATTTGTCAAGACTGTCATGGGAAAGCATGTACATTTTGCTGCTCAGCCTTACTGTTGCTATGATAACAGAAACAAAACAGCCGTTTGGAGCATTGCAGCATCGGTTTCTGTGGGGCTGGGTTCAGCTGGAGCTGCTGGCTTTGGATGACTCACAATGGCCGTTTCCCAACAATTTCTGGTTCTCTCCCCACACCCTCCCCGGTTCACAGAAAACTGTAGTGAAATTCTCAGAACCCGTAAACGAACATGACTGGGCAGAAGGAAGAACTTTACTACATGGTGCATTAACTTGTGATGTTTGCGGTCATAAAATTTGACGACGGACCCAAACTAGGATGGGTTAAAAAAAAAAAAGGATAGGTCATAATAAACTTTGAACCTTCACTTTACAGAATCAAGGTAGCACTGAGTACTAGATGCCAGATACAACCTACAGTCGTACCTTGGTTTTCGAACAGCCTAGTTCTCAAACGTTTTGGCTCCCGAACACCGCAAATCTGGAAGGGACTGTTCCGGTTTGGGAACTATTTTTGGAAGCTGAACATTCCTGCAGCCAATCAGAAGCTGCTCTTTGGTGTTCAAACATTTTGAAAGTTGAACGGACTTCCGGAATCGATTCCATTTGACTTCCAAAGTACAGCTGTACAGTCTATGACCATAAGCTTCAACCCCTTCTTGTTAGTTTCCAAAGATATTTGGGAATTTTTGTTTTGGTTATTGTTTCATTTATGAATCAGTTCCTGCCAATTTTGGACTATGTATCAATACATCACTCAGCCCTGGGTGATACACAATGTACGGGGAATTGACCCTTGCTCTGATCCAGCAAGAACTCTGTAAGCTGCTGTGTGAACCTTTTTCAGATGACATGGGGTGTGTGGAAATACTTAAAGTAAATAATAAAAGGTTTTCTTCCTTGCTAAGTGGGTCCTGGGTCCAAACTGAGACCACATTGGGGAACCATCCTCCCTTTCCCCACTTGGTGCCCATCCAGACACAGACTACTCAACACACCTGATATTTACTTTTTAAAAGCCATTCACATAATTGCTAATTGTATGAGTGGTGACTTGTCTAGTTTCGGCCATAGTCACATAACCAACTTTAGTTGAATTGGGAGCTTCTGTTTTATTTCTAAAAGTACTGTACAGAAAAGCGGAGCTTACGTTCCATTCACAGACAAAAAGCTCCCCCTAGTGAACTTCAAGATAAAGAGCAAATTGGGTTATTCACAGGGAATGTGTAAAACGTTAATTGGGTTTCGGTATCCAGAGAAGTGACTTAAATCTTCAGAAACTTTTGTAGGCACAGCTCAAAATTAAACAGGCACCTCTGGAATCTCTGTCAAAGTTTAAGCCCTTTCTACCTGTAACAACAGCTACAAATTCCCATCATGACCTGGACTTAGTTGATGCATGCATTTTCTCATGATATTTTTCTGTGCTATCTGGGTTTTTAAAACTCTTATACTTTGGTTTACACCACTGTTGCTTCTACCACATACTCTGTCTCCATACCATTGTTGTGCTTGGCATTCTGCTGGAGTAGTGAGGCTTCTAAGTTAGGCAATAAAATACAGTGGTGCCTCGCAAGATGAAATTAATTCGTTCCGCGAGTTTTTTTGTCTTGCGATTTTTTTGTCTTGCGAAGCACGGTTTCGGAAAAGTTTTGGAAAAACTTCAAAAATCACCAAAGTCTTCAAAAACCTCAAAAAAGGCTACCACACCGCGTGCTATGAGTTGCTCCTCGAAGTCAAGTCGCAACTGTATTAACGGTTTTAAGAAAAAGGAAACAAACTTGCAAGACGTTTTCATCTTGCGAAGCAAGCCCATAGGGAAAATCGTCTTGCGAAGCAACTCAAAAAACCAAAAACCCTTTCGTCTTGCGAGTTTTCCGTCTTGCGAGGCATTCGTCTTGCGAGGTACCACTGTAGTAGTGCAGCACAGATGTCAGCACTGAAATTATATTCAGATGAAACAACCACTACCAAACAGGATTAAAAGATCTAAAGTCCCGAGCAACTGAAAAGATTTTCACCGAGTGCGAAAAAGTCATCAAGTGCAATGCCAGGCAAGCCTTCCTGAGGGAATTATTAGGAACTTGGGGTGCCACATCTGAAAATGACTGTCCCAGGGACCACCCACCTCACTTCCAATGACAGGTAACTGCATGGCAGGTATCAACACCTAGTACCCTTGGGCAGGTCATTGGGCCCTGGCAGTCTCCACTAATCCTGGGCCTGTCTGCCACAGCCTTTGTTGTCTGCCAATCGCAGGGTGGTCATTGGGAGACCACCCATATCAGAAGAGCCTTCCTGGTCCTGGATGCAGCCAAAGGACTACCTGGTCCAGCATCCTGGTTTTCTCACAGTGGCCAAGCAGATAACCACTGTGGGAAGCCTGAAAGCAGAGCCAGTGTGGTGTAATGGTTAGAGCAGTGGTGCACCACACCTGTTGTGCAAAGAGGATGGCCAGTGTGGCAGGAAGATTCAAGGACAATCAAAGAAATATTTAAACATTTAAGTGTAGTGTAGTATAGTATTTTTTTATTATTTGCAGAATATATTTTCTGAAAAAATTAAAGGTCAGAAGAGAAAGGCTTATTTGCATAGGTCTAATTTGAGTGTTTTGATTAGACCTACTATAAATAAGATTACCCAGCGAAAGCAAGCTCAGTCATTGAGTTTGTACACATAGTTAAGGTACATAAGTAACAAGGCTCATTTATATCTTGGGAATGATTCATTTTCTTTTGTTTTATACTTTCTGGTTGCCCCATTATCATATTAAAAAGTAGTTGTCTACGTTATAAATCAACCACTGCTAGGAGTTTTATTTTTGTTTTCCAATGTATTTCTTATCAATTAAAAATTCAGTGTGGAGTGAGCAAATTCTTATTCTGAAAATGTGGTCCAGAGCAAAAAGCTTGAGAACCACTGAGTTAGCATTGGGACTATGAACTGAGAGACCAGGATTCGAATCCCCACTTGGCCATGAAACTCATTGGGTATGCCCTGCGGAGGACCTTAAGGTCCATAAATAACAACACTTTGGAGGTCCCGAGCCTCAAGAAGGTTAGATTGGTTTCAACTAGGGCCAGGGCCTTTTCAGCACTGGTCCCGATTTGGTGGAACACTCTGTCACAAGAGACCAGGGCCCTGTGGGATTTGACATCTTTCTGCAGAACCTGTTCCGCCTGGCCTTCGGCTTGGACTCACTCTGACCCCTTATATGGGATTTGGTATATAAATTTTCCCTTGGCTTTTTTGCTGGCCCATGTAGGACCAGCATGGATAGCTGGCTCGGGTTAATATCTGATGTTTCCTCCCTTTATGGTCTTGATTTATGGGCTACTACTAAAATGAGGCTGCGTTTTAAGCTGAATTTTAAGTCGTATTTTAATTAACTGTTTCCCCCCCTCTATTACGTTTTATGGTAATTTATATTTGGCGTTAGCTGCCCTGAGCCCAGCCCTGGATGAGTACAAATAAAAAATTATTATTATTATTGTTATTATCATCTTAGGCCAGCCACCAACGCGACCGACCTCACAAGGTTGTTTGAAGGGACCCCAAGGGCATCACCTTGTACACCACCTTGAGCTTTTTTTGGAAGAAATGGTAGTATGTAAATGTTTTAAATAAGAATAGCATTCTCAGCAACTAGCATTCAGAGGTACGCTGCTGCCTCAAACATAGCAGGGAGAATAGTGGGTAGGCACTGGCGACCTTCACCTCACTGCATTTGCCTCATCTGCCCAAAATGTTATCCATCACTTTGGCGAGGGCCACCCAAACCACATTGTCTTCAATAATGCTGTGCTCAGGAGCGAAGACTCCTAAAGCGCCTGGATAGCCCAGTTGGTAAGAGCCTGGTGCTGATAATGACCAAGGATGCAGGTTCGATACCCGCATGGGACAGCTGCCTATGCTGGCATTGCAGGGGGTTGGGCTAGATGACCCTCAGGGGTCCCTTCCAACTCTAGGATTCTATGGTTTGTGTCCTCTCCAGATGCCCACAGTGCAACCCTATGGAGAGGCTACTTGGTGCGACAGGTTTTCCTTCCCAAGTCAGCTCAGCAGTGCGATTCTGACCCTCCCTGCTGGGAAGCAAGGCCCGCCAAATTCAAGGGTCGCTCGCAGCCTAAGCCCGTGGAGAAAAGGGCCTCCCCTCTAGGCATTAGCCCAGCCAGCGAAGCCCCAGCTCCGGCCTTTTGTGTTCCCAGCCCTGGGGGGGAAAAAATCTACGGCTGCCATGGCAACGCAGCCCCGCTGCATTCTGGGAGGCGTCGTCCATCGCCGCGGCCCGTGGGGGAGACCCCGTAGCCACTGAGCCGAACCGCCATAGAAGACGCCCCGCGCACGGCGACCAGGGCGCCGGTTACCATGGCGACAGTAGCGGCGCGCGCGCGCAGAGGGCGCCCGCAATCACATGTTCCGCCCCGACTTCCGTTGGCCGGCCGCCGTCCGCGAGAAAACGGGAGCGGCCGTTTATGGTTCAAGCCCCGCTCCCCTCACCCGGCAGTGCCTACTGCGGCAGTGGCACTTTCACGTCGCCTACTTCCCCCCTCCCTCCGGACCCGCTCCCTTTCCCCCCTTTTCAACCGCCGCTGGTCGGGTAGGGGATCCAAGATGGCGGACCGGCGGACGCCGGGCCGAGGCTGCGCGGTGACGTTAGCGCGCCAGCTCCGCCCGAACCCGGAAGTGCGTCTCCCTCTGTGGGCTGAGCGGCGGCGGGGCGGCTCTGCGGATAGCGGGTCTCCCCGTCCCTCAGCCGCGCCTGCGGTGAGCGGCCATGGCGGCGGCTGCCGAGCTGCAAGGGAAGTACCAGAAGCTGGCTCAGGAGTATTCCAAGGTATTGGGCCGCGCCGCCGCCCCTCGACGCGGAGGCCTCCTCGCGGGGCTACCTCGTAGCGACGCCCCCGCCCCAGGTCCCTTCATACTGAGGGGACCCTCGCAAGGGTACGGGAGCCCCGCAGGGTCAGTTTTCGCGGACCCCGCTCGCCTCCGCCCTGGCTCAGCCAGGACTGAGGCAGGGTCCGCCGCTTCCTCCTCCCTGCCTCAGTCCTGTTGCAGCCGGGGCGCGGAATGACAGGTCTCTCCTCCCGTGGGAAGTGCTGGGCTACCTCGGGCAAGCAGAGATGTTTATTTGGGGGTGAAGGACCAAGGCTCAGTTGCAGCGCACATACTTGGCGTGCAGAAGGCTTCAGTCCTTCGCAGTTCCAGGTGGTTGTTTTAATTAACGGAAGCTGCTCGTATTTGAGAGCTCCTGCACATTGTAGCAGACGGGATGGGCAAATAGTATGGCAGGTTGCTATTATTATTATTATTATTATTATTATTATTATTATTATTGAATTTATATACCGCCCTATACCCAGAGTTCTCAGGACAGTTCACAGAGCAAAATCAAAATATAGTATAAAACTACAAAATATAAAATCAAAATAAAAGCAACCCAGTAACCGCCTCCAACCCCCCCCCCCCATTTTAAAAGGGCATAAGAGGTTCCTGAGTGTGTACAGTGGATGCTCGGTTTGCGAACGTGATCCGTGCGGGAGGCACATTTGTAACCCACAGCACCGTGTCTGTGCATGGCGAGTTGCAATTTGGCGCTTCTGCGCATGCGCAAAGCGCGATTTAGCACTTCTGCGCATGCGTGGCTGTCAAAACCCGGAAGTAACCTGTTCTGGTACTTCTGGGTTTCAGCGCATCCGTAACCCGAAAAAACGCAACCTGAAGCGTCTGTAACCGGAGGTATGACTGTACCTGCAAATCGGCATGGTGCGGGGAGCCAGGGGTCAGCAGTTAAAGGTTCCTGGATCAAATCCAGCCTGTTGGTACTTGCCCATCCCAATGTCTAACCCAGGGCAGAAGGGAGAGTGTAGGGGGGATGGCAGATACACATACCTCCCCCCCTTTTTTCAGAGATGAGGATATGGCTGTCAATAGCCACTAGCCAGAAAAGCTTACATTTTGTCTTCACTGTTGGAGGCGAGTATGTTTCTCAAAAGCAGGTGCTGAAAATCGCAACTGAGCATAGCACTGTTGCACTCAGGTCCTGCCTGTGGATTTTCCATAAGCGTCTGGTAGGCCACTGTGAGAATAGGATGCTGAATTAGATGGGCTCCTAAGATCTTTGCATTCCTTGCAGGGGGACAGCTAGATGCTGAATAAAGAGTATACTTTCTGCACAGCTGCTTTCTTGCATTCACTGTGATGGTGGCTGTTGTTTTCTGTTTTGCGTACTTAGGGAATATTAATGCAGGAGCTGTCCATACCAGCCCTTAGTGCTGATACAGTGCTGGGGCTGTTGCCTTTTACAAAGCAGTTGCTTGTCCTGCAAAAAAACAACAAAGTGATTACTGTATCCTTAGGCACTTTCATATGCATGGGTGTGCTCAGCTAGCCCTTGTATATTAAAAATATCAATAAAAAGCATTTTAAAAGCTTAGTAGCATCTTAAAATCTAACTAGCTTTTATGATGTAAATTTTCATTGACTGAAGTGTTAAAAAGTCTTATTTGTGATACTAGCACTTCTTACAGGGTTGATGCTGAAGCTCTTTGATGTGACAATCTCCCTCTTATAATATGACCAATGACTTCTAATTCTGACACCAACATTTGTGTGTTAATTCCACAGCAGCAAGTCTACACTATCGGTACACTACATGCTTTCATAGTTCAGTTTCTCAGGAGATGCACACATACACATATGAATATTTGTTTTGAGATACTTCCAGCTACCAGTCTCTCTTGGTAGTGATACAGATTCTCTGTCATGAGGAAGTATATATACTTCCTTAGTGCTAGTTTTGAAGTGCCATCTGTTTTTCCTGTCTTTTCAACATCTTCTGCTATTAATATTGAGACAGAGTGTCCCCTGCACACAGGGCTAACTTGAAGTTGCTTCTTTGCACTTAAGAATAATAGTCTCTTATTAGTATAGTGATGCCCTCCTTGGTAGTGAGAGTTACCAGCTATAGATTACGTGGATCTCTTGATTCTCCTGTCCAGATACAACTTTTTCTTTTTTCTTTTTAACATTGCTGCTGAATTATTGCTATCCTTCATATTTTTTGTCTTTAGTGTTGGTGAGATGTTCAGTCAGACTTCCCTTTTTCTCCCTACTTCCCTAGCACATCTGATTCATTCCTTAAGGCAGAGCTCTCCAAACTTTTCATGTTGGTGACACTTTTTAGACATGCATCATTTCGCGATGCAGTAATTCAGTTTTGCTAGCAAACCGGAGGTTAAACTAACCCCTTCTTTCCAACCCCAGGAGGAGCGCAAGGAATGTTCACATTACACACCTACATATCGACACAGTTTGGAAAGTGCTGCCTTAAGGCTTCCATCTACAACAGCTGAGAGGAAGAGATAATGGCAGTGATTCTAACAGTGCCTAATGAAAAAAGACAGGGCTCAGGTTTGCCTGAATCAAGACCCCCTATGCTGAGTACTATACCTAACTACTAGGTACATGAGACTACTATGGCCATTCAGTGATAGATAACGTGGGTTAGAAGAGTTTGCTTTCACCCCCAAAGGCATGGTCTCCCAAGATGGATGCCAACAGAAGAGATGAACCTGTTTGGAGCAAAACATACGCTGGTAATCCTATAGATCAGGTTCGTTCAACTTCCAAGAGTCTGCAATCTACTCCCAGTATAAAAAAAAACTGGCTGTGATCTACCCATTGTCATAGTCAGGAATAATTGTTGAGCTTTTTTAAGGTGAGGACTGACCTAACTTGTTGAGCTTTTTGGGGAGATCAATAAGGACTGCACGGGCGCAGTTGACCAGGGACATGCACGCGATCGACAGTAGATCATGATCGACCTGTTGGACATGCCTGCTATACATAAAGAAGCACCACTATGTGTTGTAGTGTGGAAATAAGAAACAAAACAGTTAATGGCTTAAAAATGTGTATTTTGCATGCCACGTCAGTTGGGAAAGTAATTTGTCATTTAAATGCCTTGTTCACCAGTGTCATTAATATTTTATCAAAATAAGCACTAAAATTCATTTTCCTAGTCGTGTAAATATGCACACAAAGGAACACCGGCTATCAAATGCACTCCCATTCTGAAAAGCTTGAAGTGGGATTTGGACTCTTTTCAGCCACCATCCCCCAAAGAGAAAATGTTTGATTTTTTTGAAGAGCAAGGACAGCCTGTTTTAATGTTTGGTATGATTTTTAAAACTGTAATTTAAATGAAACATTGCAAGTGTCGTGTACTGCTGCTGTTGAATGTTTCCTACATCAGCTTCGTTAACGAGTAACTCCTGAATGTCTGCTGAGGAACACTGTGTGTTGATGGGGATTCTAGGGACATTTTCTAGTTTTCGGGTCAGCGCCTTGTGTGTCAATGCTCAGGCCTGCTGCATTTTGTGATAGTTGCATGTGAACTTAGAACACAGCCCACACAACATTCCCCTGCACCTTCGTATTGAAGAGAAAGACCAGTTGCAGCAGGCAATATATTTTTCAGGGAGCCATACTTATTACTATCCATCTAATTGGGGATTTGGAACCATTGATAGGCAACTGAAGTGATCGATTCCAAGTCAGATCACCAGTCGGTCCAGCTCAGTTTTGTCTACCCTCACTGCTAAAGGCTCTTCACGGTTTCAGGCAGAGAAACTTGCCCAGCCCCACCTGGGGATGTCAGGGGTTGAACTTAGGACCTTCTGCAGCAGAGCATGTGTTCTGCTACTGAGATGGAGACCTTCCCTGGTAAATAGTTTGCAGATCATTCTGTGGTGGTGTCACTTCTGAGTCCAATAGACCCGCAAAGCTCCTGATTCTTCTACTTCAAAAATCACTGGGCTACTGAAACACACTGTGAACCAATGCCATCAAATTCTCCATGGAGCCAATATCTCCAGACCTTTTGTAGCTAAAAGTACTTTAGCAACCACAATCAGATTTGCACTGGAAGTTCTCTGTTTTTAGCTTGGCAATGCCCTTCGCATCTTGAAAAAATTAGGTGGCTAAATTGACTTGCTCAAGTCTAAAATTCAATTTAGATTCTATATTATGAGCTTACAAATAACGTTTATGCTTTTTCTGTGGTCCTCTGAGTGTGCTGCTTATTTTCCTAGAGAAAGGCAAGATTTTGCAGGTGGCTAATGATCAGCTCAATGCAACCTCATTGCTTCATCACTGAGTTAATGATTTCTCATTGTCTCTCTTTTGCAGCTTCGAGCTCAGAACCATGTACTGAAAAAGGGTGTGGTGGATGAGCAAGCAAATTCAGCATCACTGAAGGTATGCTTTTCAAACAATGAAGTGAAAATGAGCTTGATTCTCACATTTACTGCTTGCTTACATGACACAGTTCTGCCTTGTTTGTACAGGGTTGGCACTAGCTCCATGTCATGCATACATTCAAGGGCCAGGCTGTTTTTTTGTTGACATATAAGGTGTCAAACATCTCTTGGATTTTTGAAGAACACACACCACAGCATGTATTGATAGAATCTTACAGAGATCTGTTGCTGCTGCTTCTGCAGAAGATGCCTCTCTGCTGGCAAGTGAGGGTGAGGCCAATGAAAGCCAGCCTTCTGTTTTCCACCACTGCTGCTGCTGGAAAGAGGACCACTAGCTGTCAGCAGCAGAGGGAGGGGCAGAATCCCACATCTGCTTTCCAGGACAGTTATCAACATAACTCTTAACTGACAGCACCCAAGGGATTTGCCAAATTCTCTTCTCCAAGTTTACTTCAAGAATCATCATACGATTTCTTTTGTCTGGGTAGTACTCACTGAAGTAGTTCCATTAGTGCAAGGACTTTTGGCTGTGCAACAGAAAGTCCTGCCTCTCCTCTTTATCTGTGCCCTAAATCTGTTCTGGGGGGTCTCCCCAACCCCACAGAACAGATTTGGGGAGATCGTGCCAGGAGTGGAAGTTGTACAAACGGAAGCGCTTGCACTAATGGAATTGCTTTGTTGGAGATCGCTCTTTGTTATGATTTTCTACCAAATTACTGTAACTGGCTTGTGCAATGGTAATGTTTTCAGCTTCCTTGAAAGTGCCATTGGAAAGGCCGGTATCAATCCAATAAGTATATGAATAAGGAACGAAATGAATTCAACCCTCGTAGTTCCTCATTTCTTCCTTTCTCTTGCTGCTATAAGGGTGGATAAATCGCCACCTGGTTTTCGTAAAGTGGTTTACGTTCCTCCCTCCCTCTCTGAAGCTGTGCAAGAAAGCTGCACAGAGGGGCTGGGGAAAAAATTGACATTTGCCTAACTCTCCTGCAGTACTGCCAGCCTGGTTGAATGTGTATATTGTGGTACAGCCAGAATCAACATGCTTATCCAAAAGATTGCTTTTATTTTGAATAGCAGATTAACAGGGTTGGGAAAATCTCAAGAGCAAGCATAGGAACTTAGAAACATAGGAATTTCCTTTATACTTTGTCAGGCCATTAGTTCATCTAGTTTCAGATGGGAGCTTTCCCCAACTTTACATGAGGACACCAAGAATTTGAATCTTGGACCTTCTGCATGCAAGGCAGTTCTACCTCTGAGTTGCTTAAAACAGCAATAGCAAAATACTTAAGGTTGCTTAAAATAGATGCTACTAGTTAAGAATTCAAATGCCTTTATTTCTCTTTTAAACTAGTCTTATGCTGGGTTTTCATTTCAGAATTTCAGTCTTTTATTCCAGTATTGCTAAGGAAGATAGCATCTGCTATGCCTCTCCCAACCCATAACACAGTGTGTAATCTCTTCCCTGTATACGGTCTACAGATTTATATGGAAAGAGTAAATAAGAATTTGCTTTTACTGTTGTTGGTGCAGTAGGGTAGTTAAAGTGCAGAAAGGAATTGATTAGCATTTAAAGATCTCATAGATCCCCTTCTATCTTTTCCTGGTGAGTGGAGAAAGTGCACTGTGGGTTGGATGCTCTGTAAAGACAGGGGATGGGAAGTGTCCTTTCTTTAAAAAATTAGGACAGCTTCCTGCTTTGTAAAAAAGAAAATCTTGTCGGAATCTATTGTGATAAAACTGCTTCTCCCAAACATAGGAACAACTGAAAATGAAGGACCAGTCACTCAGAAAGCTGCAGCAGGAAATGGACAGTCTGACCTTTCGAAACCAACAGCTGGCAAAGAGGGTAGAGCTGCTTCAGGATGAACTTGTCCTAAGTGAATCTAAAGGCAAGAAGAACAAGGTGGGTACCTACCTGAATCAACCTGTGCAAGTATTTTTGCGAAGCAGCATTTTCCCAGCCTTCTGTTGGTTGAGGTATAACCCGCTGAAGTATCAGGCTTTGCTCTTGGATCCAAAAATAAATTTCTTCATGAGCTGTTGTTTGGGTTAGGGAGCACGGCCGACTCTGTGACATGGCAGAATTACCCACTTCCAGCAGTTGGAGGGCTAGTTTGAAGGAGGGCAAGGCAGAAGAATGACTCATGCAGAGGGCCAGTGGGGAACCTCTTCTATGAATGTGTTCCGTTGGCTCATAGAAGTCTGTATTTATTGAGGCTAGAGTAAGCACCATTGCACATACTGTAAATATGGGTAGGATTGCTTTGTGAAAATATCAGTTTCTTTTGGTGCACCAGGCTGAAGTGGCTGGTCGAAGGTCACCTAGGAAGTGTTTCTTGAAAGCAGGGTTTCCCAGGCAAAGAGCTGACAAGTAATCAGGTGGCAGCAGCTGATGTTCCTCCTCACTGCCATCACCCTTTTCTCCCTTATCGTCTTGAGGCCAGAAGGAGAAGGAAGATAGGCAAGTGAGGTGCCATGGTCAGATTCAAGGGACTTGAATTTAGGCCTCAGCAGGTGCCTCTGGCGTCTGCCCTGTTTGGCATTCCCGGTTACTGCTTGGTCTTCTCTGCTCTTCCTGTTAGATACTGATAATGCAATCTTAATGCATATTTACTCTGAAGGGAGCCCCGCTATGCTCTTTGGGTATTGCTCCAAGGTAATTGTGCATTGGGTTGCTGTCTAAGAGGTTTATTTCCTGCTGTATTACCTGATTTCCCCCCCCCCCGTCATTATTTTAGTATTTGATGTGTCCTAAAATGGACTTTGTCCATGGAGTTTTCTTGGCAGGGATACTGGAGTGGCTTGCAAGTTCCTGCTCCAGGTGGATCATGTTTAGTCAAAACTCTCCACTATGACCTGTCCATCTTGGGTGGCCCTGCACGGCACAGCTTATAGCCTCTTTGAGTTATTTAAGCCCCTTCGCCACACAAGGCAGTGATCCATGAAGGAGTGTCTTGTGGAAGACAGGCGTGCCTGGCATGTTCTAGTCCATGGGGTCACAAAGAGTCGGACACGACTAAATGACTAAACAACAACAACAAAAATGCACTGATTATTTATTACAATTATACCATGCCCTTCCACTGAGGAACCCTGAGTACCATATTATGCTTGATTCCCAGACACTTATCTGGGCAGTGCCCAAGACTGGACCCCCTTAGCTTGAGCAACTAAACTGCATAATGTGCCTTCTTGCCATTTGATGCAATCTCTGAAAGCAGATGTTGCCAGATTAGTTGAAGCCAGATCGTCGCTCGTTTCCTGCTTCTCATTAAATCGTTATGACTAGCACATTTTATAGAACCCGTGGTGCAGGATTTTCAATAAAAGCAAGAGGAGGAAGCAAGCTAAGCATTGCCCGCATTCTCTCCGTTGTACAATTGAGGAAGTGAGAAATTGCACAAAATTATGGCCTTCTGGGCAGACAGCAAAATAGATAAAGGGAAAGTTAGGAGAGTGGGGTTCCCTCAGAGGTTGATGTGCTGCCATAGAGAACTGGGAGCTCTGGGTTCATGAGTCCATGTTGCTCGCTGCTTCCGTGAAACCGTGGCCCTCCAGATGTTGCTGAACTACAACTCCCAACTTTGGCCATGCTTGATGGGGCTGGTGGGAGCTGTAGTCCAGCAACTTCTGGAGGGCCAACAGTTCTCCATACCTGGCCTAACCTATTCAGGGAAGAGCTAGTGTCGTGACTGAGAAGCTGAGCTACAGATCAGCAAGTCCCAAGTTGAAAACTCACTCCATTCTATAGTAACTCTAAAGAAATCCCATGTATGAAAACCGTAAGCAGTTCTGATATTTTGCGGTACTAACTATCCACAGGAGCTATGATTATGGAGTAGTCTTTAAGTACATTCAGTAAGCAGGAATGCTTTTGCTTCCTCTTAGAAGACCGGCGAACCTGCATCCCAGTTAAGCCAAGAACAGAAAAACGTATTTGATGAAGACCTTCAGAAGAAAATAGAAGAGAACGAGCGGCTGCATATTCAGGTGTGTAATTTGGTAGTACACAATATATTCTATGGCTATTTAAATTCCATGGCAACTTGTACAGGAGAGGGTGCCATTGTGATGCCCATGTGCCCACAGAGGCCTTCTGTGGCACTCACAGGCATCCCTCCCCTGCCCCCTCCCTAAAATTAGGCATGAAAGAAACGTATTGTAGCAAATAAAAAAGGTTGCATTGTGGACTTGGTTATGGTGTTTGTGTAAGTGTGTGTGTTGCCCACAATAGTTTATTCAGTTTGGAAAAGGTGTCCACCAAAAAAGATTAGCAACCCTGGTGGGTAAGACTTTTAGAAGAAATCATCAAAGGCTGTCTTTTAGGTAAGATTGGCCAATTTGTTCAGTGACTCTGCTGTGTTTTGAAATACTTCGGTTTGTGCTCATGAACTCTGGTAGTCCACAAGCAGCAGTGCTCTCTAGAAATGTATAACTTCTAAGAAACATTAAACAACAGAATGACCCATCTGCCTTGTGTCAGTTCTGCATTTTGGAACTTTGTTTCTCACAGCGTCCTTACTTGACTGTTTCAAGATGCCCTGCTTTCTTTGAATAAAAAAAAAGCCAAATTTGTACTAAGCAAATGCAAGACACTTGGTACATCATAGAATTAGAACAAATCCAGTATCCTCCAATGTAGGGGTGAGAAATCTGAGGCCCAGAGGCTACGTATGGATCTCCAAGCCTCTCTGTCTGGCCCCCTGGAATCCCCAGGCCACCCTCCTCCCTGACACTGCTCTACACCCACCTCCAGCACTTTTGCATGCTCTCGAACTCTGACAGTGACTCTTGCTTGCCTGGGTGGAAACAGAGAGAGAGGAGCGTGTGCAGAAAATAGCCTACTGTACCAAGGTGAAAATTTCCATTCATTGCTCTGCCCACGTTTGCCACTCAGAAGAGAATGTGACCCTCTGGCTGAAAAAGATTCCACACTTCTGATCTAGTCCAAGCCCATTGTGCTTCACCTGGGGGGAGACATCTTGCCCCGGTCATCAACTCTCTCTCCTCTGGAGTCATAAAACATTTCTCTGTTGCTTTGGAGGGTAGGGAAGAGATGCAGGAAAGACTGTGGGGCTATTTTGCCGTTTTATTTCACTGACAAAAATTATACACTGCTTTATTGTAAAAACAAAAAGCAAAAACCTCTAAGCATTTTACAAGCATATGTTTTGTCCCCATTTCTCTTTCCCTCTCGCCTTTTCCCAAGTAGTTTCTGGGCTTGGAGACCAGAGGGAGCAGAGACAAAAGGTGCACATATGGAATAGTCTCTTCGTCTTTTTGTGTCTTTTTCGAGCAAAAGCAGCTCAAGTGAGGAGAGGGAATTAGTAGCTGAATCCTCTCTTCCTCCTTCCCAGGGAAAAGCTTGAGATGAGTGCCAGAGTCTGCTGCCTGTTGCTGGCTATTCCTTGTAGAGATGAAATGTTGGCTTGAGGGCAGGGAGGCTCACTGGTGAAACTAATTGCTAACAAGTGGCATGTATAACATGTGGCTTTCACTGCCTTACTGAAGTCGTTTGCCCTAAATGCATCTGTTGGTGTCTCTGCTGTTTGGATAATGCATAGATTGATCTGTGGCTGGCTGGTCTCCTGTCTTCTGGAAAGAGGCTTGGGCTACATCATCTTTCAGTTTTTCTTCGCTGACCAGCCTTTGCTGTACACATAGCTTAATGGTAGAGCACCAGCTTTGAATGCAAAAGGTCCCAGGTTAAATCCTCGGCGTCTCCAGGTAGGGCTGGAGAAAACTCTTGCCTGGAACCCTGGAGAGCCCCTGCCAGTCACAAAACACAATTCTAAGCTAGGTGGATCAATAGTCTGACTCTGTAAGGCAGCTTCCGTTCCTGTGTAATCTGCAATGGCCATGACCCCTTCACCTGGCATAGGTCCCTGTCTTCCTGACTAGAAACATTTACTAGCCATGCTACCTCTCCTTTCTCATCAATGCTCTAGTGATAACCAAAATACCTCCAAATTTAATGTTCAGAAAGCTATGTACATTTAAGCTTACTCCATTCACACACCAGCTTCTTGCATTCTTTCTCATTTCCAGACTCTGGTCAAATTGTTTCTGCAGTATTTTTTTTCTTAGTTGCTCCTTTTTCAGCTTAAAGCTAAGTTCTCCCCTGCAGAAAGGGAGCAAAGGCTTCCAAGAAGACAGTTTGTTGCAGGTGCCTATAGATTAATACCTGTGGTCTCAGTGGAACCAGATAACTCTTCTCTTGCTGCTGTACATAAAGTTATTTTTGTGTAAATGTGTATTTGCACTTAAATGCATTAGGAACTCTTAAAAGTAAAAAAAGTAAAAAAAAAAAAATGGGCATGGCTGCTGCTCCCTCCACCTCAGTACCTCATTATTTAAATTTACTGAATGTCCATTTTTGAGAGGTATTCCCCCATTTTTTCTTTATAACAACCCTGTGCTGTAAGGCTGTGAGGTAGTGACTGGCCCAGAAAGCTTTGTGGTTGAGCCGAATTTGAATCTGGCTCTCCCCGTTATATGTCCAGTGCCACGTGGACACTCCCTTTACATTAAACATTTCTTAATTTTAATTTTTTGCTTAATGTGATTTGTTTTTCCTCTTCAGCACTAGATCTAATAATTGCTGGTATTTCAAACTTCTTCATAATTTTTTTTAAAAATTTTTTAAAATCTACTTTTCCTGTCGGCAGGAGAGCTAATTCAGAAGCAAAGCTTCCCCATGTTTTCAGTGTATGTGCCTGTCCAGCTTCTGAAGACAGACAAGGCTAGACTTTTTGGTAGTTGTGGAGGAAGTACTCAAATGTTATTTGTTTAACGTTCCACCCCCACCCCCCAACAAATAGAATAATCATAAAAGTTTTAAAAAACAAAAAACCAAGAAGGTGAGAAACCAGATATTTAAGTTGTGTGAATTTTTCAGCATCTGTGTTTGAAGGATTCAGTATTGGGTCATGTCAGCATTAGATAATCTGTGATTAGGAGCTTCTGTGATTTTTACAAAAGTGGGTATAAGCAGCAGGGGTGTAGTGGTATACGTAGGTTTATATATCTTCAGAGGGATTATTAATGCCTTGATCCTTATCTGTTTTCTCTCTCCCCGCCCCCGCCCCCGCCCCCCGGCCAGGGTCACTTATATTAACTTAATAAAAAACAAAACCACAGGAGAATCTGAGCACAAATGCCCTGCATCACATCTACTTTGGCCCTCTCTTGTTTTTCCCCCAGTTCAAGAGCCAAAATACTAGTATAGTAGAAGTGTACCACTTTGGCAAAGTAAGAGTTTTCGGCCTATGACGTTCCTGGAAACACTGGTGCCAGAAATTACTTATGAGCTGCAGCCCTAGGGGCATGTGCTTGTTCCAGTGTAGCCTTGGATCTGAGCTGCCAGCCCTCCCCTGGGTGATGCTCTGTGACGTCAGACTCTCCCTTCTTGTTTCAGTTCTTTGAAGCCAATGAGAAACACAATCTTTTGGAAACTGAGCTGAGGAGCAAGCTGGAGGTCTTGGAGATGGAGGCAGCGCAGCACCAAGCCGTGGTGGATGGCCTCACTCGGAAGTACATGGACACAATAGAGAAATTGCAAAGCGATAAAGCCAAGTTAGAAGTAAGTATCAAAGCTGTGTGTCCACCTGTCCTAGATTTCAAACCACCAAGGCCTATCCATCTCATATGTTGTTGGCCTCTTTGGGACTGGGGAAATTATTCCTTTTTCAATCAATGTTTTATTTGCAGGTTGAGTGACTGTTTTAATTATTCTTGTGTTCTTAAATTCTTTTACCTGGTGCTGATGTAACTACTCATTTTTTGTTTGATTGTTCTTGTTGTCATTCAACAGTGATTTATGTGCTCTTTGGGGCAGAACTGTGGTTAATAAATGCTTAAAGTAATAAGACATCCTCAAAATCTCTGTGTGGAGTTGGTTGTGCAAATAGCTATTGACAGCTCTGTTTTCCCTACTTACTTTTAGATCAAATCTCAAACACTAGAGAGAGAGGCTAAGGACTGCAGGGTTCGAACAGAAGAATGGTAATGCTCTTGACCTCTTTCAAAAATAAAGACGTGATTAGGAATTCCATTTTATTGAGGCAGATAGTGTTGTAAAACAATTATTGCTTCGTTGTCATCTTAGCATGGGCATGGGCATAAAGAGCAACCTTATACGGAGTCAGACCAGTTCTCATGTGTTATTAATTAAGGTACCATATAGGACCCGGAAGCTGTACGCCGGCTCCCTCGGCCAATAAAGCGAGATGGGCGCCGCAACCCCAGAGTCGGCCACGACTGGACCTAATGGTCAGGGGTCCCTTTACCTTTATAGGTCCAGGGTAGGGACGCGGGTGGCGCTGTAGTCTAAACCACTGAGCCTAGGGCTTGCCGATCGGAAGGTCGGAACTTCGAATCCCCACAATGGGGTGAGCTCCCGTTGCTTGGTCCCTGCTCCTGCCAACCTAGCAGTTCGAAAGCACTTCAGAGTGCAAGTAGATAAATAGGTACTGCGTCGGTGGGAAGGTAAACGGCGTTCCCGTGTGCTGCTCTGGTTTCGCCAGAAGCGGCTTAGTTGTTTGCCACGTGACCAGGAAAAACTGTCTGCAGATAAACGTCAGCTCCCTTGGCCAGTAAAGCGAGATGAGTAAAGCGCCGCAACCCCAGTGTCGTTCGCGACTGGACTTAACTGTCAGGGGTCCTTTACCTTTTTTTTTATAGCTCCAGGGGGTCTAGTTTGGCCCATCAGGATTTTTCCCATACTCACCTGCCCATCAGCTGACATAACCAGTGAAACTTCATGGGAAATGTATGGATTTGGTTTTTTCAGCTTCAAGTAAGCACCCCAAAACCCAATAGTTAATGTTGTTGTCTTATTTTTTATCACCCAGCCAGCAGCAGTTAAAGCACCTTCATGCGGACTTGAGCAGCAGATTGGGGGAGTCCTTGAACATCATCAGTGAAAAAGTTCCTTTCAATGATACCAGTAGGTACTGCATGGATTACCTTTGTTGTGTTGCTAAAAAGAAACTATAGAAAACTGAAAAGCTGAGATTTCCCCATCCCAATCCATCAAAAATAATTGAACTTAGTTTTGCCCAGTCAGCAACCAGACTTTGGCTGGAATTATGCTTGATAAGGCACACAGGGCTGCCGCTGAAAATGGCAGTGCTGTGTTAAATTTCCATCTCAGTTTCTGTAGTGTGTAGTACAACTCAACCAATGTATGGATGCAATTATACAAATTTTCTGCCTATGCCAACAAATAAGGAACAGGGGTAGTGAAACGTACGCAGTAATTGCACCAAGACAGGTGCAGGTACCTGTTAAGTGATGGGCAGGGCAAGGCGACAGATAGCTGCCCTGTGCTCCTAGTAACAGATTGTCTCTCTCATGTACAGTCTTCTGGGAATGCCATAACATTCTACATACAATCACATGAGGGATGATGCAGTGAAAATTGCTGTTAGGGCAGGGTGGCTGGGGGTAATCAAACAATTGCTGGCTACAGAATGAGCCACTGAATGGTGCTTGTCTCTCTTCTGTATTATTCCTTCATTAACATTAAAAGTAAAGGCTTGTTCCTATCCCCCTCCCACGCCAAGAGATGCAGATCCAGGGGGCACGTCAGAAAAAAGTCCTGAGCTGCTTGTTTATCCTCTGCGGCTTGCTTGAATAGCTGAAACCATCCATTGCTTGGGGTTTTTTGTACCTAAGACTCATCCACTTTCTACATACCCTCTAAAGACACAGGCTGGCAACCCATGGGCCACTTGGTGAAGAGGTCTTTCCTGTACTTCCCAGCTTTGTGTTAGCCACTGCTTTGTTGTATTCCTGTTTATGAGAGCATATAAATGAGTGGGAGAGGCTGGAGACATCCCAGAGAGAGGTAGACTCTCTGCTATGAATGTGAATGAATGAGAGAAGGGAGAAAAAGGGGTGTTCCTGCCAACATTGGCTTTTGCAGGCCCCAATCACTTTTCTCAAGGGAATGCAGTCTCCGTTCCCATAATAGTTGCCTGCCCTTGCCCTTAGGGTCAGGAATGCTCTTGTAAACTGGCTGTTGTGCTCTAAGTTCAGATTGTTAATGGCACCTAGATAGCTATTTACTTTAGATGCTCCTATTATCCCGGTAGACAGTTCCTAAGCTTTGGTGGTTGGGTTTTTTTTAAGGCTAGCTTGTTGGGAATTAAGCCAGTTTTGGGTTTAGGTTTAATTGTCTTTTATTTCCCCAATTTAGCTTTGACGTGGCTGGGCGTTTTATAAGTTGTCTTGAATTTATTGTTACCACCTGAGCATCCAGAAACATAATTAGCTTACGGTGACAAGGTGTGTGGGCAAATGTTGCAAGTCTGGCAAGCGGAACTACTGAAATAGATGCTTGTCTTATGGATTAATGCCTTCCATTAATTTAGGTGTCTCATTTGCATTGCTTACTAAGAAATCCATGTGCCTAATATAAATGGATTTGTGCACTGTATTTGCTAAAAAAACTGAGCTGTAAATTAGGAAGTTCTCAATTCAAATTTCAGTTCTTTGTAGCCTTAAGGTGGCCTTCCATTTATTTATATGGATATTCCTGACCTACCTGGTACTTGAGACAGAAAGGTGGGATACAGTTTTAACAATATCATGCTACTATATTGTTGAAAAAGAACTTTAGAAATCCAAAGATGATTGGGGTTGAAATGTGTTACTCCATAATGACGCATGCACCTGCCAATCTCCTATTCATTTATTTGAATTTTTAGCCTTTACTAGCTCTAGGAGTCAGACGTTCAGCTTGAAAAAGATGCTTGTCTGTTCTTGAATGGCTTAACAGTCTAAGGCAGTGCAGGAGGATCGGAGAGAGAAAATAATTGCTGTAATACTTTGATTCTTTTCATAGGGTCTAGCCAGTATAATGCTTTGAATGTGCCATTACACAGTAGAAGGCGGCAGGTGAGTAATAAACCTAAATTATTAACCTAAAAAGTTTGCAACATCTTTGGCTCAAGGCTTTGGGACGGTGCAGAGCAAATAATAGAACCATAGAACTGTACAGCTGGGATGCTGGTTCTCTCTTAGCTGTGGGTGGAAAAATGTAAGAATCAAAGTGGGAGGAGGAACATTTTAATATCCAATGCATATCGGACTTCTCAGGCACCTCATCAGGGACTGAAGTTTAGTCTTTTGTTATACTGTCTTCAATTTCCTCATACTGTGGAAGATCATACAAGAGATTAAACTTCTGTATTTGAAGTTTACACATTTGAACCTGAGAGATCTGAAACATGTTGGATATTAAGCATTTTTTTCAAAGTCCTTTGCTTCTTGCCCACCCTTTATCGCCATTTGCCTGGGGTTTCCCATCTTGCCAGATCTTGGTTAATGCCTCCCAAGTATTCATGACTGCAGAAGGGGGGATTTACGTAAAAGCTGTTGGTAGCAACTTGACATAAGAGTCAAAAGAGCAGCCACCTGTTTTCAGAGGTAGAACGGGCTCTCCCAGAATTCTGCTCCTTGGAGATGGCAAAAAGTCATTTGTCTCAGCCCCACCCACCAAGACTGAAAAAGAACTTGGCATTAGTGCTGTAGATGAGGACAGAAGTACAGCACTGCTCCAACTCTCTATGTTGAGATTTTAATACGAGTCTTTGCACGTGGTCTTCTAAACAATTAAGACAATAGAAGGATGCCTAGTAGAAAACTACTTGTGAAGTATATTGGCTTTCATTCCCACCACAAAATGCATTCTGGTTTTGTTGCTGAAAAATGAATGAGAAACACCAAGATATTTTTGGTCGTGGCCCCGACTTGGTGGAACACTCTCTCACAAGAGACTAGGGCCCTGCGGGATATGACATCTTTCCGCAGGGCCTGCAAGACAGAGCTGTTCTGCCAGGCCTTTGGTCAGGGTTCAGTCTGATTCTTTTCTTTCTGTATAAGAACAAGCATTAAAGAGGCCTCCTAGCCCGCTCACAGGTCCTTTATAAGACCAGTGGTAACAGTTGGCCCTGGAGAATATTAACCACTCTCAATTTTACCCATGGACTGGCATCTGTCCAGATTTTAATTTGCTCTGAACTAATTTTAAGACGTATTTGATTGCCTGTTCTTATGTTCTTAGTACAGTGGTACCTCAGGTTAAGAACTTAATTCATTCTGGAGGTCTGTTCTTAACCTGAAACTGTTCTTAACCTGAAGACCACTTTAGTTAATGGGGCCTCCTGCAGCCGCTGCGCTGCCGGAGCACGATTTCTGTACTCATCCTGAAGCAAAGTTCTTAACCCGAGGTACTATTTCTGGGTTAGTGGAGTCTATAACCTGAAGCGTATGTAACCTGAAGCGTATGTAACCCGAGGTACCACTGTAGACTGTCTTAGTTTGATTATGTTAGCTGCCCTGAGCCTGGCTCCAGCTGGGGAGGGCAGGGTACAAATAAAAATTTATTATTATTATTATCATCAGGATTTTGCCCTGATACAATCAGATCACAGTGCTCTTACTCTGCTTCTCCAACAGAAGAACCTTTGCAGCAGGGAGGAGGTCTGTCATATTTGAATCTTCTGTTTGTTCAGTTAGGAGCAGTTCTGGGAAAGGCCTTTTGTAAAAGAGATTGCTCTCCATCAAAATAAGAGTGAGCTGCATCACTGCTCTTTGTACCTTGCAGTTGAAGCTGCGTGACCTTGCTGGCCAAGCGCTGGCCTTTGTGCAAGACCTGGTGACGGCCCTTCTGAATTTCCATACCTACACGGAACAGCGAGTCCAGATTTTCCCTGTTGATTCTGCCACAGATACAATATCGCCATTAAATCAGAAGGTAAGCTGGACCTACGATAAGCACACTATGTGCCAGCTTGCTACATTTTTCTACAGCGGATGCAATGTAGCTGTTAAAACAATCTCCTTTCTTATTTGTGCAAAATTGTATTGAATGGGGTGAAAGTTTCTCACCACACATTTCTGCCAAGGTAACATTACGGCTGTTTTGTATGCAAAGGATTCCAGGTTCAATCCTTAGCACCTCCAGCTGAAAGAGCAGTTCTCTCTCTGTCCAAGATGCTGGAAAGCCAGTTGAAGAATAAAAATAAAAATAAAAATTCCCAGAGTCTTTAAAAAAATCCCAACGTTGTTATGTGATGTTGGGCAGTAATGTTCTGAGCTTTTGCTGCTGCATTGCTTTTATATGTATTCTGTTTTGAAAATATTTAACAGTAAGGTGCCTTAGGGAACTCTGTAGTGATGAAGCTGTGGGTTATCATTAAATAGTCACAGGATATGGTTTTGTAAATAAAATGAAATAAATCTTAACTTCCCTTGGCCAAAATGCCTGCACAGAGTTTTGCTTCAGGGTTTCTGAATGTTCCCTTTCTCTTACTTTCTCCCCCTTCCAGTCCCCATAAAAGGTAAAGGTAAAGGGACCCCTGACCATTAGGTCCAGTCGTGGCCGACTGGGGTTGCGGCACTCATCTCTTTATTGGCCGAGGGATCTGGCATACAGCTTCCGGGTCATGTGGCCAGCATGACTAAGCCGCTTCTGGCGAACCAGAGCAGTGCACGGAAATGCCATTTACCTTCCCGCTGGAGCGGTACCTATTTATCTACTTGCACTTGGACGTGCTTTCGAACTGCTAGGTTGGCAGGAGCAGGGACTAAGCAATGGGAGCTCACCCTGTCACGGGGATTCGAACCGCCGACCTTCTGATCGGCAAGTCCTAGGCTCTGTGGTTTAACCCACAGCGCCACCCGCGTCCCTCCCAGTCCCTATAGTCCAAAATAATCTGTCCCCCGCACCCCCGTCATACAGCAGTTCAAATGCAGTGCTGGTAATCTGTTTTAATGCCAAATAGTTCCCTGACTTTGCAAGCAGTGCCTGCTGGAACCACTGACGGGTTTCTCTCGGTTCAGTTTTCACAGTACCTTCATGAAAACGCATCCTACATTCGCCCCCTGGAAGAAGGAATGCTACACTTGTTTGAGAGCATCACTGAGGACACTGTCACAGTTCTGGTAATATGGTTGTCTTTGTTGTCACATTCCGTGTCTGAGACAGGTTGCTACTAAATACCTGAGAGACATTTTCTTCTTTTCTCTTCAAAGGAGACA